TTAAATGTTCTTGGATGGTGAACCGAGGTTGGTTAAGAGTGTTTGACATGGATTTGCTTCCACTTCTGCCCTTAGTTGTCGACATGCGCAGAAATGATATTACTTTCCAGTCCCCGTATTAAATATGAGTATAAATGTGGATTAACATAAAAAACGATGAACTTTGGAATATTTTAAAAAATATAATAAATGAAGTACTCAACATACAATTATTTTGCACATCTCTGGCAAACAGAACACATGTGCTCTATACAAATACTGATATTACATTTCTCGCACAGAAACCGTATCTTTCTGTTGTTGTTTTTAGGGCATTCAGCGCATCTTCTGTAAAAGTTTTTCATCTTTTTAGATGGTGGTTGCATGTTGTAATCTCCTTTTTAGATGGTGGTTCCATGTTGTAATCTCCTGAATTTTTTTCTTTTAGTTTCAAAGTGAGTATGATTTGCTGCCGCAGTTGATTTGAATAATCTTGCTCTTTCGAATAACCAGTATTTCCTAGAATTTTAAAGATAATGCTTTTAGAACTAGTCCTAACATTCGTTCGGAATTTGTTTTTCTTCCATACCAAGCCATTTTTATCAACATAATTTTCATCATTTCATTGATTTTCTAATTCATGTCTGTATCACTGTCTGTTGATGAATTATAATTGTTGTTGTGTCATTCATCTATTAATTTTTCCTCCTCTTTTCTAAATGTTTTGTCATCTCTTGAAATGGTTTCTAGCATATTTCTCAACCTTTTCCATTTCTTTATCATAACTTAGATGCCGCGCCATGCTGATTAAGAAAGTGAGGGTGAAAATCTGAAAGACGCAAGAAGGTACGTGGGTGTCGCATACCCAAACTGTACAATTCCTAGAAAAGTATTTGAAGAATCACTCACCCAGCTTCATGAATGTGACCTTGAATTCAGCTACAAAAGATTTTGTCCATTTCCAAGAAAGGGGTATTGAGATAAGGAAGAAAGAATATGCCCCCCCCCGGATATGAGATACCAGGCGCGCACACGGGGATTAAAATATTTTATATCAGTTTTATTAATTTTATTGAATTGTTTTTTTATTTCAATTTTGAAATGTTTTTGTTTGAATTTTGATATGTATGTTTCTTTTTGCGAAGTTCCTGCCCTTTCATGATCTAATTTCGATTTAATTATTATCTCTCGATTATTTAATTAATTTCATAACATACTGCATGGCTTTAATAATTATATATATGATCTTAATTTGAAATTTGTCAACTTTTTTTTCATGTATGTAATAATTCTGTAGATTACTTGAGGATTAGATAAACAGATGCATAGATACTTAAGATGACGGTAACAAAAAACTTTAGTAGAGGTGACATTAATTTAAACACAGTTTTATTTCATAATTAACATGGGTTCACATATAATCATTATAGCTCGCACCCCGCAGTTTTGTAGAGGTTACATCTGTTTAGACAGTGGTGATAAACGGATGCATATTGGCAAGCAAAGTAGAGAAAAAAGGTCTGCATAATACTGAAGCAGTATTTATAGTAAAAAGTTTCTTTGATTGGACGAGATCCATCAGATTGCAGTGAGATTACATAAGAAACATGAAAAGAATTAATTTAGAAAGAAACAGTTAAAAAAATAATTATAAACAATTTAAAACAGAAAGAAGAGGTAGCCAAATTAAAATGAGGAATTAAAAGTACTAGTCTTATATAAAACTTGGTAGTTTTTCTTTCATACTTTTATATCTTACATATTCTCCAACCTCTCCTTCAAAGAGAAAAAGGCCTGGTGATAAGACTTTATTAGAAGAAAGCATTAAAGGGTTAGCAAAAGAAATATAATTTTGTGAAAAAAATCATAAAATTATCTAAATTTTAAATATAACACTTCCGGTCAATAAATGCAAATTTTAGAGTTCTGTTGAAATTTTCAGTCTAATTTTAAAAGTCTACAAGTTCATTTTCTCTGAAAATATTGTTAAGTGTATACGAGTTTGTAGTGGATTGAATGCACACAGAACTGATAACAGCTTGATAAAATTTATTTTCCCCCAAAAGAAACACTTAACAGTTCTAGAACTTTCCACAGATGTACTCATGCAGCTCTTTCCAGGATGATAGAGCATAATCAGTAGTTACCATTTCAAACTGAGAACGTTAAACACAATGCAATGCATATAAAGAGTAAAGCTTGCACGGAGATTTTTCAATACTCTGAAATGCTGAAATGAAAACTTATAGCCAATGCTCTTTTCTGGTCTTATATAGTTTCCCCCAGCCGTCGAAGAATTTCCATTACCTTCCATTTCTCGAAATTACTCGAAGGCATTTACATTTGAAGTTACATAGAAGGGTCAGATACTGTTGTATATAGGGATCAGTTGTAGTACCAACTACAGTTATACATGGACCAAACCAAAATGTTGCCAAATGGTTAGCAAGTTTGGTGACTTTTAGCAATTTCTTGCAAAATTTGGCTACAAAATGTAGTCACCGAAACCATTACAAGCTTGGCGATATTTCACTAATTTAGCGAGATAGACATTTACTTCATTATTAAGTGGACTTTCCCGTGTAATCTTATTTTTCTGGCAAAGCATCACTTTTCTTGAGTCTGTTCACCATCTGATTATCCACATCCTCCACGAAAACATTAGCAATTTGTTACCGACGTTGTACAGAAATGTTTGTTTCGGTATTGTATTTTTACTTTTGCAACTAGGACTACATGTTTTTAATATTCTTTTCTCCTATGTAAGAAATGCACACTTCTCTTCTCTCTCTCTCCTCTTTTTTTTTTTTTTTTTTTTTCCACTGTGATTCTCCTTGCGAATATCTTTTTGCTGAAACAAACTAAGAATTGCCCTAACTTGGCACCACATACAACCTCCATACCCAAATATTAAAAGGAGAAGGAAGAAGGGAAAATTCGCACATTGATATGATGCCATTAAGTTAGCCTCACTGTACTAAAGGTGTGCAAAAAGTTGAGCCTGAGGTTTTGCCTAAGATGTCAAGTATTTATGCAGCAATCCAGGTGTGTGCATATCGCAGGTATACTTGAGTGCATTCCAAATTCATTGCTTGTTTTTCTGTTTCTTTTTGGACTGAGTATGTTTATTTTTAGTTGTAATAAATCGTAATGGGACTGTAGAGTTTGCTGTGTTATATTTTCATTATATGAGAGAGTGTATATTGGAAGTTTCAGCTGTTCTTTGGCCATTGTGGCTGATGTACAGTTCCAAATTTGTGCAACTCTTTTTTTTTTTTTTTTTATTGAAAACTGATTGCTGTGTATATTTATCCAGGGCTCTTTAGTTATCAGTGTTACTTTCAAGCTGATTAACCAAATGATACAAATAAAAAGCATTTCCATGTTGCCTTTTTTGTGTGCCTCTCATGAAGGAGATTTATCGGTGCAAGAGCAGTTTTAGCTCATTCTAAGTATACTGAAAAGTATTAAGTGTAATATGCTAAAGCACTACAGCATTCTCAAAGAGTTTTGTATGTAATGTAATAAATATTTATATATGTAATCCTGAATAATAAAATGTTCTTAAAAAACTCGTGTAAATTTTATTTTAAAAATATATCAGAGTTAGTAGAAAGGTATCAATTCATAAAAACTTGGTAATAATTTTCTATCTATGTGCTATACATCTAAAATAAATTCCTTTAACACCTCAAAAACTTTTTCTTCATTTGTAACCAAGTTACTGTGGCATTTAACCTTAAGCACACACGCTTATGAATGAACATGTGAGTGGTAAATACTTGCTGCTAGCATGTTCACAAATAAGCATGTCTGCTTCAGGAATAAAGCTTCAGACTGCTCATTATGTTTGTAATGCATGTGTGTATCATTTAAAAAAGGTATAAAGCTTCTTATAATAAAAAGGAAATTTTAGATTTTTAGAATTTTCTTATATCTATACATTTAAAATACAGTCAAAAGTCTTTAATCCGGACTCGTCGGGACTTCGGCGATTCCGGATTATCGATTTTTCCGCATTATAGATCATCAGTTTAAATCTGGTAAGATGGCATGCAGAAATTATAAAAATTAAAAATATGAAACCGTAATTTATAAAATAATGAGCAATTATGATCTAAAGGGTATCAAAATTTACAAAAAAAGAAGCTTAATGTTTATTTGCTTACTTTACTAAACATTTCTTTCAACACGCGCATGCGTAAAGCATACATTACGCATAGCCGAAATTAGAAAATTGCAACCAGAAAACTATTTGATTTGTATTCGTGATATTTATAATGACGAGGAATTTGATTTAAATCATATCAAAGACGGAGTACATCGAGATGAAATACTACATTTAGTAAGGAATTATAAGCGGAATAAAATAAAAACATCTGCCCTGAAGATAAGGATAGTGCTGACAGATCAACTTCCAGTTAATTGCGCGCCGCGACGTCCCTACCCGCGCAGAGCAGCGTGAAATTGATAAACAGATTTCAGAACGGTTAGATGCCTTTATCCATTTTTTGTAGAAATTCCACTTTTTGTTTGATGGACATCGAAACATACTTTCGTTTTCTAGATCCTTTGGGAGCTCCAGCATCGGAAATTCTATTTGACATAATTGAAAGTTCAAGTTTACTTTTATAAAATTGCTCTTACAGTCTGCAAAAAATAATAAGCCAGATCCAATTTGAAGATTAAGGAAACATTAACTGAAATAGCTAATTAGATAATTTTAGCTTATGCCGTCTGTTATACATTAAACGCGCACGCGAAAACGTATTCTGCGCTTGCGCAGACACATATGCTCAGTCGTAAAGGTCTTGTACGCACGCGTAAATGCCTATGCGCGTGCGTCAACGCGGCGCATGCACAGAAAGATTTTAGCTTTGAGGTCCGGATTATAGATCATTCCGGATAATGGGTGTCCGAATTAACGACTTTTGACTGTATCCTATTGCCCCTGTTTTTAACATTTTTCATAAAATACTTTGATTTTATTTTACATTGTAGTATTTTTACTTCTCTTTCAGAGGAGAGAAGATGCAGAGCTAACACCTCAGTGTCACCATGTAAGTATTTGATTCTTATAAATTCACTTTGCGGAGTAAAGCTATATTTTATTGAAATTATTTCTATTGAACAGTAAAGAAAAAACATATGGCTGTTCCTTCCCCCAAAGTTATAAAATTTAGTTTTTCTTTTGTCTATAATAATCAATCTTATTTAGAAATCCTCAAGTAAACAATTTAAAAAATAGTAGAAGTAAATGTTTATCAGATTTTGTAATGTAATAGATTATAATTTTGAGTGATAATTTTTATCTGGATATAAAATATTTCTAAGCTTGCATATTGATATGAGTAAGATTTAAAAACTGCCAAAATAGTAACTCTATCATAAACATATGCAAAGCAGAAAAGCTTAAAATATTATATTGCGCTATAGTAATTTGGAGTAATTATATGCATGGTTAAAAAAAGGGAAGGGGAAAATTGTGGCATGTAATTTGATTGTTGAAGTGAATGAAAGCTACTGCACATTAAAAGCTAATCTACTCCTACTTTGTGCAGCAGTAAGTATTCACTGCTATTTTCAAAAAGCCTAATAAGTTCTTTTTTACCCATCTCCTATGCTTCATTAATTGTTCAAATGAAATTTGTACTATGCAGTTAGAAACAGGTTTATTTGAGCTTTCAGAGTTAATCATATCCTTTCATAGATTAAGGAATTATCCACTGAACAATATATAGCGTCCCTGTTTCTTACACTGCTGTCACACCAACGCGGTCACATGTTCTTGCTTAAAGCGTTAACCAATCAGAAGCGAGTTCAGAGGTGGCGTTTGCCGTATGGCCAAAGACCATGTTAGTTGACTTAACTTCAACTTGCTTTCTGACGCTTGACGAATCAGTTTCAGGCATATTGTTTCAAATGTCCAGTTTATACCATGATTTTTAAATGATTGCACTTTAAAAAATTCTTCTTGATGAAAAAAAAAAGTCAAATAGACTAATCTTAATAAAAATGTCAGATAATAATAAAAAAAGCATATACTGATAGAATAAATAGCTTTATAAATTATTTAAAAGAAAATTCTCAAGTTTATTAGCAGTAATAAGCCTTAATAATCAACCATAAATTATACATGGTTGATAAGTTTTACAGAATAATCTAAAGCAATAGATTGTTGCGAGAAAATATTGATGATTTTGAATTTTTCTTAAAATATATCTACATCAATTTAAGGTTGCTCTTGTTGCCTAGTGGATAAAACATTGGCTTCTTGAGTTAAAGATTTTGGATTCAAGGGTCACCAGCAGTGGTGTCATAATAGAGTTGGTATTTTTAACAAAATATTTACAGAAAATATTGCGAGTTTCAGAGTAGCCCAGATGTTTCTTCAGTTTCCTGAAGGTGAAGTGTGAAAACCATGTTTACCCACAAGATACCTTAGCGCAGAGTTAACACGCTCAAGTAGGTAACTTAGCTTTTACTAGGGACTTTTATTGCGGGTTTGGGCCTTGCTTTTTCTACCTCTGATGATGGTACGAATACACCAAATTTTGTTTTTATCTACCACGACTTTTTAATTTGGGGGGGGGGACACAAGAATTGCATTTATTTTTAATTTCATTTATCATTCATGTAAACTTAATTTTCGCTCCGTATTGTGTGCATTATCCTTCTTTTGACAACGAGTCTTTGATATAATTCATAAGATCTGACTACAATGATCTGATTTTATTTCGGTGGACATGAGACTAGCAAAAGTGATACTGGTATTAATATAAAGTTGCTGTTTCGGTTGATCTTTACATTATGGTAACTTGGCGATTTTTTGGCGAAAATTTGGCGACAACTCTCCTACAGCAACCCTCTATTTTTTTTTTTTTTCCCGCCGCCTAAAGACATGTTTCTTTTCATTTTATCTACTGAACCAACAATCTACTAGCCGAATTACACTTATGCTAGAAATTTTATCTAACAAAACTGCTTAATCATAACAAATATTCACTGCAAAACTGGGAAAAAGTGCACAATACCATACTTCTTACGCGTTTTTCAAAATAACACATACACATAAACCATGTACCGTCGACTTATTTTTACTTAAAAAAAATCCCAGAATTACACAAAAATGGCATTGCGCGCACTCTTCACTATACCCATGTACACTGCTTTTTTCTCATAAATTAGAAAAATTTCACGAAAATACATGACAATTTTCTGAATCTTTAAACCCGGTAAAAAGAACATATATGAAATTACCTGATCGCGAAAAAGTATATACCCTTTCCAAATATGAACATTTCCACATATAAAATAAATAAAATATCCAAAAACTTTTACCTCTAAATTATCTATTTATATTATAAACGTCACCAACGAATTCATACCGCAAACATTACAAATACTTAGTGTCAAATATTTAAATTATTTCCATGCACTTTACTTCAACTAAAACGTATACCAAATTCCTACAAACATAAAATTCACAAAATAACTATCATTTAATTAAAATATAATTAAATTCAAAAACACTACTTATAATATATAATAAGCACATACATTAAATTAATAAAAATTAGCTTACAATCCTATTTACTTTAAAGTAAATCATTGCTAATAACAATTTTTTCCCCAATAATACCAAATTACTTTACTTCCACCTTACATTTAGAACAATGCAAAAATAATATCCTCAAATATTAAAATACTAACTTACCTAATCTTTCTTCAGATCTTGATTACGTGTCCGATAAACTTTTCTTATTTCTTTTCAGGATCTTTAAAATCATACTTATAGTTTTCACAGCAAGGTACCAAGTAAAATAATAATAAAACTTAAACATCTTTACTTCTTCTTCTCGCAAACCTTAAAACCTTATTACTACCCCTTTCAATCCCACTAAATACCCATTTCGAATTCACTTTAGTTAGGGCCATGGGATCCAAAAATTTACGAACACTGTTTTACACACACGGTATAAAGCCAAATACAAAATTTTCAGATTTTTTCCCATTCCCCCCTTTTTCCGATTAAAGAACCGTAATTCGTCCATTAATATATCACGACATATCCCATGATCTCTCATTTCCCTCACACAAAATAATGCGTAATCGGAACTGAGTACTGCTCACTTATTACCAAAGTCCCAGGTAGTAACCTTTATCGCCTCCAAAATGTCGCCAGACTACCAGTTACCATATTCTAAAGATCAGCCGCTGTTTCATCTAGTTAAAAAATTTAGTGAGTTCTGAATTTTAAACAAGTGGTGAGAAGTAAACCATTTGTTTAAAAAAAATTAAGAAAACTGTTATTTATACAGAAAAGAAGCTTGCTAGTATGTAGCTGATTTTTTGTACGCATTTTAATGGGTTCATGTTTGTTTTTCTTAACATGCATGGCCACTTTTCGAAAGGTTTAATCTTGATGATAATTTTTTATTAATTTAAAGAATTTTTGCATGAGCATTAGCAAATTTGCCAATTGGAATTGAATTTTTAACACAAAAAAAGAAGTATTATATAAAATGCCATTACTTTAGTGAGTTTTTGATAAAAGTGACCTTATAAAATAAACCTTTTGATAGTGGCTGTTCATTAATATATGAATGACTTATATGAAGTAGTTACTGTTACATTTAAAGTAAAAAATATGTACATAAGGCAGAAACTAAAACATTTTTTTAAAAATTGCTATTGTTCATTAACTAAAAAATAACTGCTTTTTTTAAGTATCATATTTAAAAATGCTTAAATCCTGCAATATTTAAAACAAATATACTTTTTTATTGCATTATTTAAATCAAGAAGGGAGTTAAGGAAGTATTTAAGGGAAGTTCATACATCATGCAAAAACAAAAACTTATTCTACCCCATGAAAAATTTACTCTCCAAATAGAATCCAACAAATTCATAATTAGGCTTAATATATAGAACAAATCCTTTTCTGGAATAGCCTATTCCTATCTTCCAAACGTTTCTTTTCTGCGATATTCTGACAAAAATTAGTGTTCTACCTGTGAATAAATAGTTCAATGAGGGCTAGAAATTCATTGAATTGATGAGGTGTCATGCGAAAGTAATTAAAAGAAATTTCGTTTCATTCAAGCTCATTTCTTCAATTAAGTTATTTGTATCTTCTTGCTGCAGTCTTCTCTCACATATTAATATAAATCACTGCATTCTGCTTCCTTTACACAATGCAAGAAATAAAATAAGTTTAATTTGAGCAGAAATTAAATCCATTTTAATTGAAAAATGTAATCTTAAAAAGTCAAAATACCACACAAAAATTTTGCGTTTGCCCCCCAAATTTCCGATATGAAGCGCCATCTAGTGTGAGCATATGACAACTTTCGAAGCGAAAGTTGCTGCGCTGGTGTGAACTGAACATATGCGGAAAGCGTTTTTTTCTGCATTGCCGCTCAACGGACCAGTGCAGCTTTAGTTGGATAAGAGCTTTGTGTCTAGTAATTTATTGCTTCTAAGTGTAATAAAATCGTTTTGTAGATGGCTAATAGAAAAGTACATTTTATGTTATGAAGAATTTTACATTTTACTGATTATTTTTCATAAAAATAGTCACATTTAAAATGTTGATATATTCATATTTAAACTTTGAACCAGTATTTGAGTGTAGGGAATTTTGAAGCATTGAGTTTTGCCTGAAGTGTGACTGGGCATAATCTGGCTGTGTGAAAATTATTGTAATTGCTGTACATGAGAAAAAGCATCCTTAAAGTAATCTACAAGGTCATTATTATTTCATAGAAAAAAACTTTCATTTGCTATAAACTAAATATGTGTATTTTTACTCAAAAATTAGTAAACTGGTAGTTGGAGACTCTTCTGATGATTTGCTTACAGCAGGAAATATATGATGTACTTAATTACAAATATATTACCTGCCACTTTAAGCATGCTTTTTTGTTACACATTAGTCCCACCAGCGCCCGAGCGATTAAGACCACTGAATGCTGGGAATTCGACTAGTTTCTATACCAGGCAAATGGGCTAGCTGCATGATTGGTTTTCATAGTTTTTCCCACATGCAATGTGAATACAAGCCAGATGTTGAAGGTTGTGCAGTTTATTTCTTTTCTATCTAGAAGTAAATTACTGGTTATAAGCAAACATTAAAGTAGAATGAGTCTCTTCTCTTATTAATGGATATCTGCCCTGCGATGTATAAGAAACACAGAAAGTAGAAACATATTTATTGCCTATAGGAAAGGAAAAAAAATATCTAGTGATGGTACAAACATTATTAGCTGTCCATAGAAGAATGCATAGATTCAGAAAGTTTCTTTTGGATCAAGTCTGCTTTCAGTTGAGGAGGTGAAGGAAAGTAATGTCAGATGAGCAGCTTAATTGCTTCCATTTTCAATGGTGATTCTTCACCAGTTCCTGTTGGAAAGTCTTCCACGAATGCATCTTTCAAGGAGATAGCCATTGTGTGCTGCTGTATTCAAATAACCTAACTTCTTATTGCATTACAGTAAACACTCTTCTGCTGCCTAATGATAGATCAATTCTATTACTTACTGTAACATTGATGATGAAGTATGCAGTGCAATTTTCTTCTTTTAAGCTGTTTCCTCCAATCGTACGAAGTTATCATTCCAGCACAAGACCTTTTTGCATAATGCCATTGCACTTTGTATGTATCAGAACTTACCCTGTACCACTTTGTACAGCAGAACTTAATTTCAGCTCTGCAGCCACATTCAGGCATCTGAGGGAAAATGCTATATAGTACAAAGTTCTAAATCCAGACATCCAAAATCTGGAATGATATAAAGTCTGAACCTCCAGATCACCAGTAACTGTTTAAAAAAAATGTATGCTTTATGTTTGCACTTTTGATATTTTTTTATAAAATGTGAAATTTCCCCATTCTTAAATCTCACTTCAACACTAAATAAAATGCCATATATTGAGGGGGGTATTCATTTATTAGCTTGAATCTGTATTATCAATAATTTGTCTCTGTAATCTTCCTTTGCTTGGCATACATTTGAAACTGGTAGCATTTTACATAAAAATATCGTTGGTTTTACACCTGCTGAATAATTTATATTCCTGATGTCAGCTTGGCGAATCAATCCTGATTATCATATCAGCACACAGCAGCTTAGAAATGACTCTGGCAGTAATGCATAAATAACTCTAAAAAAAAAAAAAAATGTTGGTAATTGAATACCAAAAAGCATGGTAACCTTTTATGTTGACATTATGCTTGGCATTCAATATGGACTTCAGATACCTTTGCTGCAAAGTGTTAAATGGGTTAATGAGGAGAAATTCCATAGAAATTTCTTTCCAGATAGAAAAAAAAAAGGGAGGGGGAAGAAAAGATTTTGTTAATGACACTCATAGGCAAAAGTTTACTTAAGTGCTGTTTGAATTGAAAATAATTGATTTGTGATTCAGATAAACCCAGAACTGGTGAGGCAGCACTAGGTAGCAAAATTTAGGAAACGCAAAGTTTTTAGGATGTTTAAGAGCAAGCAAGAAAGTTAAGGGATGGCAAAATCTATAGAATTTAGCAAGGACCAAAAATGTAGGAACAGCAAAATTTTTTAGATTTAGGAAAGGGCTTAGCAGCAGAATTTCAGACTCGGAGAGATAGCACTGGGCTACAAAATGTATAGCACTTTCCCTGGATAAACTTTAAGTGGGAATTTATTCGTTTGAGACTCAGATAAACCTGAGCATACACACGAAGAATAGACGTAAGTATAAAGACAACTAAACTAGTATAATTCAGCCTTAATTTCGCCAGCATAATTTCGGAAGAAATGGAGTGAAGTGACAATAAATGAAGATGATATAATAAAAGTTTTTCATTGCAATGACAATGCCCCAATCATCTATCAACTAACATATGGCAAAATCTGTTCTAAATCCAGAAAATATTGTTACTGATATTGTGACAGAGAAGTTGTGAGAATGAAAAAATTTTGACTGGCAATTTAATGGGAATTCTTGACATGGCAGTTAAAGAACTTGAACAACTTGATAACTGAACAAAATATTATGTCTTATTAGAATTAAAGAGAAAGTACTATTAGCACAAAAAATGGGACAACTTCAATTGACATTGAATGAAATATTTAATAAAGCAAACAAACAAATATTGTGCTGTTTTTTTGTAAATTTCATAAATGCTTCATTATTTCATATTTTTAATTCTATAGTTTTTACTTGTTATCCTGCTAAATTTAAACTGATGTCTAATATCCGGAAAAATCCAAAATTTGGTATCATAGAAGTTCTGATCTAGTAATGATCTGATTTGTAATGTAATGATTTGCTCAAGTATTCAGCATTTTTATAAATAGTTTGCTGTTTGAATAATGGAATTGGTACTCAATTGGACAATGATAGATTGCAGCATTATTGCAACATTTAGTGCATTCATTTCATAAATTATTTAGAAATTTTGTATTCCTAACCTTAGATGTGTGCTTATATTAATATTGCAGTAAATTTGTAAACTTGTAGTAATTCTCTGCCAAAATCATTAGTTTGAACTGTTGTTTGTATATGTATTTATAAGGCTTCATGTTCCTGGTCATTATACTCGTACATAAAATGAACTTGGAAACAGTGTTTCAATTCACATGATTAAAAGTGTTTTATTTATGTTCACATGAGAGTATTTTTCTTTAATTTTGTATGTGTAAAGTAACTAGCATGCATGTTCACTTAAACCGTTTTTTCCTTTAGCTTGAAAAGACATTAGGTTTTTTGATACTGGAGACATGAAAAACGATCAGTGCCTTCACTGGGACTTGAACCTGGACCTCTCGAATATGTGCCGAGTGTGTTACCCGATACACCACAAAGGCATGCTGAAAGGAGGGAGAAAATACCTTATATATTACTCCTTTTAAAGAGCGACTAGAGAGTAGGAGACTCAGTCGCTATAATCATTAGGCGATCAATCATTAGTCAATCAACAGATGGCACCCAAATTAAAAGGTGATGAATTACCATCCACCACCTTTTAGTTTGAGTGCCATTTGTAAAATCATTAGGTTTTTTAATGCAGAATACGTGAAAAATGAGCAATGCCCTGGCCAGGACCTCTCAAATGTGCTATCATTACACCACAGAGGTATGCGGGAAGGAGGGAATAACTACTTTGTAAGCTAACCAATTAAATTTGTTTCTACGTACACTTTTAGGAAGAGGTAGCTTCTTTTATAGTGCTGTGATTTTCTTCCAGAATTGTGTTTACCATAGATATCATATTTTCTTATTACATAAATACCTGTTTTGTTATCTTTTTGTTTTAAACCTAAGCAATATTATAATTGGATATTTTTTTTTTTTTTTTTTTTTTAAATGTGACCTGTGTCAAATCAAATGTTAGAATGCATAAGACATTTAATTATGAACAGAAACCACTTTAAGGATGAAGTTTGCCTTCCTTTGAAGTTGATAGTTTTCATTTATATTTCTTTTGTTTTTAATATTTCAGTAATGTTAATAGGTAATTTAAGAAATTATTTCTTATAAATGAATGGAAAAATTAGTGACTCATTTTTTTCCAGCAGAGTCAGATTCTTGGCATTATTAGAAGTCAGTAGGAACAGAGAGTCAGATTCTTGACATTATTAGAATTCAATTATTAAATCATCATGTTGTAGATAGGGTGGGCACAGCATCCAGGGAGTGCTAAATTGATGTCATGAAATTTTAGAATGAAATGTTTCCCGTTCTTGGAACACAGAAAGAGGCACAAAATCTTCAGTTGTTCCCAGGTGCTGAAACCCTAGTATGACTCTGGAAAATCAATAAAGAATTTCAAATGGAATTTACTTAGAATGAATTTTAAAAATGCATTATTTATTATATTTTGCTGTTAGCAGCGATCTAGATTGCTTTCTTTTTGATGAACGCATAAGTATTTAGTATTCTGTAAGATTAATATGTATTGTTAACATTGACATGCCCATATAACTTTTTAAAAAATTTTTAACTTAAGGAATTTTTTTCTATATTTTAGCTCATATGGAATTTCAAGAGAAATTTGACTATTGATAACAGGTTTGTCACTACAGCAAAACACATGTGTCGGAAATTTTTAGAAAGTGTAAGTACTTCTTTAAAAAGCTATGATTCTAATATCAGTTTGTAAATCATTCTTAATTTTTTAAAAGTAACATTTTGTGTTATGTTAATGAATTTAATAGGTGGTTTTTTTATTAACTGTCCTCCCTCCAGTGTTTTTAAATAGGACTAAGGTTATCAATAAATTAGCTGCATATATTGGCAACTGAGAACAAATGGCCAGAAATCGTAACTACAACAAATCTTCCCAAACGCGGTGGTTACATTCTGTGTATGCCAAATTCGCATTCTGCAAATTTAACTTCCTGTGGAAAACATGCATTACGTATAACTGAGAATAAGAAAGTATGTATAATAATAATAATAATAATAATAATAATAATAATAATAAAAAACGCTAAACATTATTGTAAAGAACAAAACAAAACACATGTTAATTCGAAGGATTAATCATCATGAAGCTTACCTTGCATTACTATCATCATGAGTATTCCCTTGCAGAGTTCATATGGTAGAAATTCATGAGACACAAAAAGGCTTTTGATGCTATATTAAAAGCAGCCACAAAAATAAGGCAACTAGAAACTGTATACAGTGAATAAAAATGAACTTGAGTGATAATTTTTTGTCATTTAAATAACGGGGTCTAAAGCACCAATAAGGAAGTACCATTTAATGTACCATATTTGTTCGAAAATAAGAGCCTTTTTTTGCTGTACTTTTGTTTTGAAATTTGATAGAATCTTATAATTAGGCATTTTAATAAATGGAATAGCAGAATAAGAGGAGAAAATTTAATTATCATATTGTATAGAATAATTACACTGTTAGAATAAACTGCATAGTATATATAAACTGTATGTTATGAATTTGGCATTTAAATAATTAACGTTCGTTGAATTGTAAATTAAATGGTTTTATTTCCCGCGCAGTACAGCACGTGACGAATATTAAAAGAAAGCTAAGCCGGAAAATTGAAAATACAAGAGCGCGTGCATGTAACATTTAATAAATATCTCTTTTTGATTTCGAGAAAGTACTAGGAAAATTCTCGCTCACAATTTTAAAATCTTATAAAAGGAGGAAAACCTCTCAGTTCATGGTAGTTAGTTACTTAGTTTGTTGTTGTTTAGAAAACTGCTCTTGTTGATTGTAGCGAATTTGTGGATTAGCTTTCTTTAGCTGTTTTGGAATTAAGTTCTATTGAATGTTTGAGTAGTTAAAAGATAACTACTGTGAGATATTGTAATACTGCACGATAATTTGAGGAAATTTAAGCATACTTCTTGTGATAATAATAATTTTTTGTTCATTTTTCATTGACTTGTGCATTAATTTCAAACGAACCCGTATGCACGGAACATGTATAACTATCGTTAATTAAAATAGCAGCATGTTGTTCAGTGATTTCAATTTAAGTCTGTATCCTTTACAATGGTCACTGGAGAGTCTAACGTATCATTAATTTTCCCGATACTATTCTGTTTTGAGGATCGTAAAAAAATTGCAGCGAAAATGTATGTGCAAAAGCGCCAAATCTAGCAAATGTGCCCATTTAACAGTGTGCCAAATCTAGCGTACGCTCTGATTTCAGATTGCGTAAGTTTATATAGTTCTATATTTCTTAAGACGCCACTGAAATACTAGTTTAATTTTTAAATCCTTTTTTGATTTTAAATCCTTTTTTAAATATCCTATGGATTTAACAATTTGGGAATTGCCCAAGATGAAAAGTCGGCAATAGAATTTTGGGTAAAGTGCAGAATCACCCACTGTTTGATGCGTTTTTAAGAATTGCGCATACTCGGTATCTATGTGCACATCGACCTATTTTCACTTTAAAAAAAAAATCCCAGAATTGCACAAAAATAGCACTGCGCACATGCTTGGTTTATCTATGTACGCATTCGACCTATTTTTCACTTAAAAAGTAAAAGAACAATTGATAAAAATCCAATTGTTTTTAACCCTTGTAAAAAGCAGCAAACAAATAAATGGGCGATTCTGCACTTTGCCAAGAATTTTTTCAAAGAAAAAGCGTCATTTCATTATAGAAAACTATGTTTGAACAACCAACGAGATGAAATTATGCTTTAGTGATAACTTCAGTAGCGAAACAGCAATGCAGGCATTCATTCAGTTATGTTAAGCAATTTTTATATAAATTATAATAATGATCTGAAATAGTTATTTACTATTATGCTTCCATTCAGTCACGTTTAGCCTTTTTCATATAAATTATAATAATAAAAAGGTATTATGTGAAATTAACCTTTAATCTAGATTAACACATTGAGCACCACGTCAGCCATCTGTGGCTGACACTAGACTTTCCGTTTAGGCCGCGTCAGCCATCTGTGGCCGACACTAGACTTTCCATTTAGGCCGCATCACCATCTGTGGCCGACACTAGATTTTCCGTTTAGGCCGCGTCAGCCATCTGTGGCCGACACTCGACTTTCCGTTTAGGCTGCGTCGACCGCTGCTGGCTGACAGCGTGTATCATGATATATAACTATAAAATTTACACTGTTTTATGAAATTACAGAAAATTTATTTAAAATTTACTTAATTTTGATTCATTACAGGACTAATGGATTTCATTGAAACACGGTAAATATAAAAACGGTTCTCCATTACTGCTATTATAAAATGTGACAATTCTCTTAGTCTTTTTTCTGGCTATTACTCCTGACCCTTCAATACCAGCGCTTTTATGTGGCGTGCATGGCCTAAACGGGATTGCCTAATAAATACGCATGGCGCTCAACGTGTTAAAATATCAATCTTAGATAGTTATTAACTATTAGACTTCCTTTCTTTCGTTAGGGTTGCCGCAGTTATTTTTGGCAGCATTGGCATCAACAATAGTTTGGCGATTTTTTACGGCCCTCGAAACTGAATAGTTCCATTTTTCCTTATTTTTATTTCTATGCATTGTAAAATATTGTATTTAATTTGGTAATTTGCCTTTCATTCTAATTGGAAACAAATGAATTCTAATCAGAATAATGCTATCATCAAATATTCATTTGCATTTTTATTTCTTAAAATTTATCCTAAAGTATGAGGTGGAGGGTACTATTTTTGAATAAATGTGATATGTACTTTTAAATTTAGATAATTTTTGCTAAGTAAATGTATTAAATATTTTGGAAAAAATTGGTTTACAATAATTGTATTTTTTTGTGTTATGTGTGAATGAAAGGATAGATTAAAAATCATGTAAATTGGAAACAAATGAATTCTAATCAGAATCATGCTTCTATCAAATATTCATTTACTTTTTTATTTCTAAAAATTTATCCAAAAATATAATGAGGGTATTGTTTTTGAATAAATAAGGTAACATATACTTTCAAATTTAGATGATTTTTGCCAAGTAAATGTATTAAATATTGTGGAAAAAAATTAGTTCACAATAACTGTATTTTTTGTGTTATATGTGAATGAAAGGATAGATTAAAAAGTAGTTTTAGTATATTGATTAAAAATCATGTGATGTACTACAGTTATATTATCCTCTTCCATATGAATGTATTAGTGAGTACAGATTCATTGGCCTGACAGCAACAGATAGCAACTGCAGATAGTACTATTTTGTGTTGCTACTGTTGCTACTACAAAATAAACATAAAAAATGAAGATATGACAACAGAAAGGAGAAAAGGTAGAACAGGACACCATTAGAGTTTAGCTAGATAGATTTCCCGACCATCTGGAAAAACTTGGATAAAATTATATAAACTGCATAGTTTTAACTATGGGATTTAAATCTTCATTTTTCAGTTCACCATTTATACCATGTTGTATTAATCAATATTCTTGAAAATATATAATTAGATCCTTAAAGAAACATTTTGAGAATCTGTCTGTACCGATAGCAAGTTGTGACTTTGTGTACTACTAATTTGGATTAGTGTCAGCTGTCATCTCTGGATGTTAAAGGGATTTGGAAAATGGTATTGATTGACAGTATGTACTGCAGGGAGAAGATGGAAATGTTGAATTGAGTGTATGAACTTTGAAAACAAACTTTTTTATTATTATTATAGTTTTCATTTTTATTGCTGATTGGGAGGGAGGGAGTAAAACTACTTACAGAGAGTTTTTATGTTTATGAACTGCTTTGTTTACAGCTGTCCTGATTGATATGGTGATTAGCACATGCTGGGCTCCAAACTGACAGGCTCAGGTCTAAATCTTATATAAGATATATATCTTTGTGATGTAGTGTGTTTGTAGGTTTGGGTTACTTAAAATTCATTAGCTTGTAAGTCTTTTTCTGAAAGCATAATTTTAATTCTCAGAGTTTTTTTTTTTTAAATCGGAATTCATGTGGAGTTCAAGCAGACAAACCTTCTGTGCTTTTCCATAATTGAATAATCCAGTGCAATCTCCTTATTAGTTAGTGTTCATCAAAGCTTGATGGTAAGGAGTGAAGAGTATTAGGATCTGAGGTTTCAATCCAGGGGAATCTAAATTGTGATGAAGCTCCATCAAGTTTCTAGGGGCTTTGTTGTAACTAAATAATCTATTCCATTTATTGATAATTAATATTGTAATAATTTGTCTTAAATACTGTGAGTATCGTATAATCAGTGATTTCATACTACTATACTACCATAAAATGTTCATAAAAAGGGAAATTTTAAAAAGTCCATTAAAAGGAAAATGTTTCATACTACCATATAATGTGTGCATAAAAAGTAAGTGCTGAAATTCTTGATGGTAATGAGAGGTCTTTTGAAAGTTATTTGTTGCAGAACTTCAATACTTAGAACTCTTTAAGTTCCTCCTCCTCCTTTGTAATATGAAATGATTTGCTTTTGAGTAATATTGCATCTTTTTGTCAGCCAAACTAAAATAGTTTTTAAAATATTTATTTTAATTCAGATGTAGCCTCTTTTGCATGTTAACACACAGTATGGAAAAGTATTCCCTCTGGACATTTATTGCACTTTTTTCTGTATTACTTTTGGATTGTTTCTTGTATTTATTGTGTATATGTAAAAATCTTTCTTTTTCAGCAAAAGGAATGTATACCATCAGAAGATAAACGAGGCCATTTGTTATCATGCCTGATGGAGTTTGCTGAAAATGCTACAGAACCAGAATGTCGGTCATTCCTGAAGAAAATGGAAGCAATAATATTCAGTGATTATCGCCTGATTTACAAATTCACTGAAGAATGTGGTTCTGACATTGATCAGTTTCAGTGTGGTCGTCTTGATATGGATTCTGAGGTATGATACATTATCTGCTTAAATAAACAAAGCAAATTTATTGTTCTCTCTGAAGGCTTTCATTTCCCCCCATTCACGTAGAAAACATTGTATACAAAGAAATAATCTTAATCACTCATATATTGTTCGAAACTATACTTATATACGCCCTCGGTTGGCGAGAAACTCCACGGCGCTAGATTACTATCTAAATTTTTTGTCTACATTTCGAACTTTAAACCTAAAATGTCTGCAAAAATTCGGGTTTCGCATGCGCAAACACCTCATTTTTAACACGCAGTTTGCGCCAAAAATCCGAAACAAAAATAAAAAATTTAAATAGTAAAAACTTAAAATTTCTGACCAAAAATATTTGATACTAGAATCTATGTACACAGCGATTTGTTTTAACTTTAAAAAAAATCAAAGAATTGCACAATCTATGCAGCGTAGGAATCTAAGAATTACACACACCTCGCTAAAGTAAACTAACATAACAACAAAAAATTTCAAACAGTACCACATACACAGCGTTCTGTTTTAACTTGGAAAAAAATCAGCAAATTGCACAATCTTGGTGTCGTGCAGAAATCAACAAAATAAACTAAAATATCTAAAATAAATTACAAATAATTCAAAAAACAATAATAATGACAGAAATTCATAGCAGAAAAACAATGAACATAGCATTCTATAAAATAAGAACGACAATAAAATAAAAGTCACTTACCATTATTATCCAAACAGCAGAAATATCAATTTCAAACATCAGCAAAACTCATCAATTTCCACCACTTTATCCTTCCCCCATATCTTCTGAGACAGAGAGTATGCAAAGTCTAGCATACATTTGTGAATAAAATTTCGCCAGTCACACATCGTCTGTGAGCAAAAGTGCCACAATTTTTCTATATCGCACATCTTTCTGCAATTAAAAATTTCAAAAGTAACGATAAAATCTTCCTCCAAAGTTACCTTACTACACGAAAACCACAATCCCAATCTTAAACTTCACTGACAGCCATAAGCAATTTCAAAACGCCCAACAAACCAACCAGCAAACAAAACCACTGCAGCAAAATCAAGTTTCAACATCAAAAGGATTGCCATACAAACAACATCGAGCCAAAAACCATGGCAGAACACACAATTGTGCCAAAAACCAGCGCAAAGTGCATATCACCACATTTGGCGACCTGAGGGCATATATAAGAGTTCATTATAACCATTTGCCATCAATATTTGTGTATGAGCCCCATTAAAATTTGAAACATTGTCTGTAATAACATTTTCCATCTTCTTGCATAAAATGTTTAAGAGCTGCAGTAAAAACTTCAAACATTAAGTCTGTTACTATCTCCAAATGTATTGCTATTGTGGATAAATGTATAATTATAGCAATGTAAATTTTAGCATGTGCATTGACCCTTGATTGGACATGGAATAGTGTGGAGAAATTAATGCCATAATTAATACAGGGTGAAGTCAGAGTTACATGCTCAGTGGGAAAATTACCCATGACATGACTTGCTGCAATTTCCTTGTTTTTAAAGCAAACAGCAGAAGCATGCATTATTTTATGAGTCAAGCCTTTGCCATGAATGAGAAATATTTCAAACGCACTTGATGAAGTAAACCTTGTGCTCCAATATGTAGATACTTCGTATAAACATATTCAAAAATCAGTATGGTAATTCTATGACTTGGAGGCAAATTTAACTGTTGTTTACAATCAAAAATAATCTTGAGTTTTTAATTTTCCTCTGTCTCTTAAACAAACAAACAAACAAAAAAAAAAAAAAAAAAAAAAAAAAAATTGCTGGAATAGGTTTATCTTGTCGAAAAGCTGCAATTTCCAAATTAAAGGCAGTGATTTCTAGATCCTGTATAAGAAACTCCTTAGCTCTTTGCATTTCATCTAGAGTTAAATATCAATGCATGTTATTCTGCAGTTACAATTTAAGATAAACCTGAAAATAAAACTGAGAATAATGGTGAGTTTATGAAAGGTATTGTAAAGTTTCAGGTAAGTGTCTATGAAATGTTCATTCATTATCAGTCAGAACTGGATTAGATAATTGTTTTAGTTCTTTCTCGTACTCTTCATTTAAGGAATAATAAATGCCTTCTGGCAATGGAAGTTGTTGATTGAGGAACTCAGGACCTGACCTCCACAAGGAATTAGCTAAAAGTTCACTAGTGTCTGCTCCTTCAGATATTATATCTACTGCATTTTTAGTCCAAAGGGGCTTTGTCCCTGAAGGACTTTTGTTTTCGTTTTGCGATTTTCCGTTGGTTCAATTCTAAAGATATGCTCATTTTAAAACTATTTTGCGATATTGATGTTGAACTGAATTTTATGGTTTAAGTGTGAAGAACATGATATTTTATAAATAAATGTAACACAAAAAGTTAAAAAAAAATATCCCTTTAGACGTAATTTAAAATATGAAACCTTTCAGTTTTCTTTTTCTTTTTTTTCTTTCTTTTTTTTTTTTTTTTTTTTTTTGAGCAACGTGACTTCACCTGAATTGGTTATTCAAAGTTTAAATTTCGTCACGAAAATTTTGAACTTGTTCGCAAGAGTGTTTTATGCATCCTAAAACAATAATAGAATTGCATCCAGGGCCGCTGCAGGGTGCACCAGGTTACATCCAGCGATTTTAATTATTAATTTGTTTTGTAAAATTCTCTAATATATTTGCAAAAATATTCTAAACAATTCAGTATCTATGTATCAATTGTATACATAACTTATCGTATATCATGGTCATTGATTAACAGAGTTGCAATGAGAAAAAATATCAAAACAAAGTTCTGTTTCTCTTTTTTTAAAATTTTATTTAGCAACATGTTGTCTTGATGACTAAATGCATTACAAAATTACAAATGAAAAAACTTTGTTATTCATTGTATATGCTGTTGAATGAAACAAAACCAATTTTTATTTCTTAATCCTTTTTTTGTCCCTAATAAAAGGAGGAGAGATTGAGTGGTGATCTGCTAATTTTAAAAGTTTTAAGATATGAAAAAAGTATTGCTGATGTTATTAATTGATATTTCAGTACATTTTGGATTACTTTCAATATGTAAATTTTAGGTATTTGTGTATTTAGATCAATTAATTGTTTTAACTGCATTAAAAAATGAAGGTATATTGGTATGCAGAGTGAGGCAATCAAGAATGCGAGTTATTAGAGGCATATACAATATTAGTGCTATTTGAATTTAAATCTTTCAAAATCAAATTATGGAGAATTCATTAATATTAATTATCAAATAGTTATTATATATAACGAGCTATTATATTATTTATATTTAATATTAAATTATATATATGTAATGAAAATAATATATATAAAATGTGCAAGACAAGGTTGTGCATAGTGCCAAATTTGTGCAATTTCTTTGCAAGACAAGGCTGTGCATAGTGCCAAATTTGTGCAATTTCTTTGAAGATTTTTAAGTAAAAATAATTCATTATGTACATGGGAAGAATGGAATTGTTGTTCTTCTTACGTATACAGTAATCTATTTTTGTTTAAAAATATTCGCCATTGCACCAACTAAACCGTATATACTATATTACCATTGCAAAGCTTTCATTTATGTGATACGGTGCTTTGGCACACATTTAGTGACTAATGCCCCATTAATAGAAAAGTACCTTTTAATCTTTTAGAATTTAACTGTTCATTAACGTTTTGACTAAATTTTGACTATTCCTTATTTACTAACAGCTTTAAATTAAATTCTATCCTTTTCTTCTTGGCTTATTAAAGTATTTGCTCAAACTGAAAAATTTATGGAAATTACTTTGCATAGTTTTAAATTAGGACATTAATCTTAACTGGGAATCGAACGCTATTACTTCTGCGATGTCAAAAAACTAAATTGCAAGTTACCATCCCTGATGCTGTTGAAACTCAAGTGTAAAATCAATGCAGAACTTCATTTAAGCCACTGCTGGTGGGGTTTAAAACATTTTTAAAATGATATTTTCTCTTCCCAAGTGTAAAATTAATGTACATAAAAAAGTTATGAAACAACAACTTTTTTAACATAGTTTATTAAAAAAAGTGTTGAAGAAACTTCATTTCTTTCTTTCTTTATAGTGTATAAAAGTATTAAAGAAATTTTATTTCTTTCTTTATTTTTATAGGATCCTCATTCTCAGGGAGCAACAATCGAGTGTTTGTCAAAACAAACGGAGAAGTTAACACCACAGTGTAGACATGAGATACTACGTATAGCAGAACTGCAGGGTGATGATTTTCACTTAGATCGGCCACTGTTTTTTGCTTGCCGGGAAGATCGAGAGAGATTCTGTGAAAAAGTTGAAGCCGGTGAAGGAAGGGTATATCGTTGTTTGATGAGACATAAGATGGAAAGAGATATGAGTCAAGAGGTAATGAAAGCACAGTTGGCATTGGTTATTTACTTTTTAATAAAAACATAAAAAAATTAATTTAAAATTATTTTTTAAAATTTACGAAAAAATTATACATTTTTTGTAGATAATTTAAGAACTGTATTTCATTCTAAAAAACTTCTTTTTTTAGTGTCGAGAAAAGTTATTTCAAAGAGAGCGACTTGTTGTACATGACTACAAAGTGAATCGTGGGCTGGCAAAAGCATGCAGAGAAAATATAAAGATCTATCATTGTAGGGATGAAACTTCTGATAGAAGAGAAATAAGACTTGCTCAGATATTACTGTGTCTTGAAAATGCATTGCATAAAGGTAAACTTTGTTTTTACTGTATTTTGCGTTTTCACCGATTTAAATAATTTTCTTTTCTAAAGTGGGTACTTTGGCTCTAGCCAACACTCGCCGATGCATTACCAGTAATACAACTCTATATGTCTGTCTGCTCTACTACAAATTTCATGGCAGCCCTAGAAGCTGTTCCAGATTCTTCTGGAAAGATGCAGTTTTTTTTTTTTTTTTTTTTCATTTTTCCTCTTCTTCCTGCCTTTTTTTAATTATTTATTTATTTTGAAGGAAGGTTAAGAGAAGGGAGATCTTTTATTTCAACATCAGTTTCAGAACAGTTAAAGTAAACACATCTTTTAATAACCCTATTCCTTTTTAAAGTTCTCGGAACAATGCTTTCCTTTCGTTTATGAATTTTTAATGTATTGACTAGATTTTTTGAGAAATGAAGTAGTTCATTATTTCTAGGCATGTAATATTTTACCAAAAAATATCAAATTTTTACAAATGAAACTGCACATAAAGGAATATGTACAGTGGGAGTATGCAACTGATGACAAAGAGTGAAGAATAACAACTGGGAATTGGTTAAAGGGATGTCATTTACCTTATTATTTAAAACTGTCAGTGCTGGTCATGTTGTTAATATGTTATTATGTTGATAATTATTGCCCTGACATTGAAGTAGATAGTACCCATATGCTTAATTTACTTCTTATAAGAAATATGATTTAAAACAAGGTAATAAAAGATGATTATGTGTATTGCACTAATTGAGAAGAATAGAATTTATGACTACATGCCAGTGCGTGATTGGTGCTAGAAGTAAAATTATTTTCCCAGTGCCACATTATGCGCAGGCACATGGCATTTAAAAACTAATTAAAACAAGAAAAAAATAAGTAATAATATGCATTATTTTCGCTAATTGTGTCTGCTTCAGAACAGTTACATTTTTGACACTGTTGCGATAGGAAGAAAAGCTGCACACCAGAATCTTAACAAGAGAGTTAGAAGCAAAAGTGCACAGGTATCCAATATGGCTGCTCACCAAGAGAAAGGTTTCAGGTCTCAAAAGTTTGAGTTCAAGTTTCGAATTAGCTACATCAGCAGCATTATGCAAGTCATATGATATAGATTGATTTAGAATGCTGCAGTAACGAAAAAGGCATTATTATTTTTAGAATAGAAAGGGGGATGTATAAAAATTTAAAGAGCTGTTGTTATTAGAGATTTATTTTCTTATTTTATATTTTACACACACACACACACACACACACACACACACACACATATATATATATAAACCTTTATATATATTACAAATGAATTTATTGTTAGTTACAATCATATTATTGCAAACTAGGTATGTCACAGTGTGATTCGTGTATTATCTTTGCACGATATAAATATTAGCCAGATGATCCTTCACAAATTTTGGTGATATAGATAGTATCTGTGAAAGCAATTTGTACTGCAGCATAGTACCATTTTCTTCTTGCAGTTGAGTACATAATCTGATTCAGATAGACCATGTGCAGGAGCACAAGGATCAGATGGCTGTTTCAATAAACCTCTTATGATAAAGAAAATTCATAAAGTAACATATTTCCATTGTAATATTTATGATAGTTAAAGTGGGAATTTACCATCATTATTTGTAAAATATTTGGGTAGGCCACTTAATGGTTTTCCTTTCATATGGATAGCAGGCAAGTATTTGACCTTGCTTATTAATGCCCACTATAAATTCATTATATTGATCAAGAAGTGGTTTTCATTTCATTTTGCCTTTTTTGTCATTTCTACACTATTTTTAGATTCATTAAAAATGTAAGTGACACGTCTTTTATCATTCTGCTTAGCAATTATTACACCATTAGTTTACTTTGCTACAAATGCATACTCGCATAAATGTGGCTGAATTTTATTCTTCAGTGCATGCGTGCTTGTCGGCCTGTTGGTATAAACCTTTGACTTCAAATAACCCCATAAGCAGAAATCTAATGGTGTTAAATCAAACGATCTAAGGAACCGATTTTCATCACCGAAACGAGAGAGTATATGGCCAGGAAATGTCTCATGCAGTAATTGAATTGTTTCACGGGCAATATTGCATGTGGCACCGTCTTGTTGAAACCACATGTCATCCACATCAATATCATCCAATTCAAGCAGAAAGAAATGTGTTATTGTGTTGCTATATCGAGCACCAGTAACTTCATTGCTTGACTAGCTTTATGGTCCAATGATACCTCTAGCCCAAAATCTGCATCCAACAGTGACATATTAAGGATACATTTGTTTTTCGACAATCACATGTGGGTTCTCTGAACCCCAAATGCAGCAGTATTGACAATTAACAAAGCCATCAGGGTGAAAATGGGCTTCATCGAAATTTACGAACTGTGGCCGCCAGACTTTCATTGTTTTTGAGATATTTTTCAACAATGAAAACACGTTTTTTGTACTATCATGTAATGCTTCTTTTCTACTAACTTAAACTATCAGCTGTCAAATGGTTTTTTTAATAGGGTTGCCAAAACTTTACTGCATGAACAGTGGCAAATTCAAATCTTGCATTAATTTTGGGACACCCTTTATTATATCATCCAAAATCAAAATTATATAGTAAAATGTTGTACTTTAAATACATTTTGCTATCCAGTTTGGAGCATAAATCTATCCAAGTTTGTTTTATTGTTTGAAAAATATTAATGCCAAGATTTTTGTTCTCTTGGAAGCATACGCAAGGAAGAAGAGCAAGCATTTGTTTGATTTTGGGGTAGGTAAAGGGAGAAATCAACATATATATGCATTGGAAGATGAAGAGACAATTTAGTGGTATCTGTGTACTGCTGCAGTAAAGATAAGTCTCTAGGAAGGCACTTACCTAGTGAGGCATTCAGTATAGGCACTAGGATAAGAGAGGAAGCATCAGTCGTAGAGCAGTTAACTGAAGGAAATTGTTTTTAAGGAATTTAGATTTTGCCAAAGTCATCAGCATTAACTGTAGTTGGGATTTGGGGGGATGCAAAATATTTTCAATCCTTTTTAATTCTTTGTATGCATATGTATGCAAATAAATAAAAAAGGGATAAAAACTCATTTTGAAGTCGCAACTAGCAGAAAAGCAAATGAGCACTTATATTTGTTTTTTTCAGGCTACCCAGTTGCTGGGGAATGTCAAGCAGAAATGTTAGAACACCGCCAGACACTAATGGAAAATTATCAGCTGACACCTGAATTAGCTGCAGCTTGTGAAAAGGACGTGCAACACTTTTGTGGGAGGAGATTAGAACTTGGAGGCAAAACTCTCCATTGTCTCATGGACCATGCAAAGCCATCACGGCTAGACGGAGGCCGCATTAGTGACACTTGTCGTAGAGAAGTAATTACATTAAAATTGATTTTTCCATTTCTTTGCTTATTTTTTTGTTTGGAGAGTTATTATAAGGTAATTCTTTAGCTTAAAGTTCTCCTGAAATTTATTTAAATCACTGGATATTATTATTATTATTATTATTTTTTTACTTAGAAACCTGTGACATATTCTTACACCAGATGATGATTTGTATTCTTTGAATTTTACAATTTGTAAATTCATATCAGATAGATTTTGATTAACATTGATTTCATGTAGATAATTGTGTGTTCTTCATAAAATTCATAAATTAAATAACTATTTGAAAGAATGTTTAAGGAAATTAAAATAATATTAAAGAAATTGCTGTCAAAATGAAATTAGTATGCAAATTACTTTATAAGAGGAGTTAAGAAAAATGCTCAGATACATGAAGCAGTTTTAAGAGATGGAAGAGCATTGAAGTGTGTATCAAGAGACTCTTAAGTATTAAGTAGCAGCTGACTAGGAATACTTTTATTTTTTGTTCAAAGTTGATTGCCATTAACTACAACCAGAGGATGTTTCCATTAAGCACTTCTTTATATTATAGATTAAAATAATCATGAATATGGTCGCACCATTATTAATGGTGGAGTTTGTTTGGATTACGCAGATTACTGTAATCAAATGTTAGTAGTAATGACAAAAGACACACATGCTCACAATGAAAGTTTGGGTAGATAAAAAATTATAAACATGCCTAATGCATTGTCCTTCTTGAGTTATTTTTAGCATAACAGTGCTCGTCCACACCCTGCTCACATATTCCAGGACTGCCTACAATCTGTCTACCATAAGAAAGCTCTCGCCGGTTAATCTGCAGCTGTCTGTTGCTGGAGAAATGAGACTTGACCCATTTTCCAAAGGGGTGTCTTGAAGATTTACTTTTCATATGGTGCATTTAAAGATGAATTGCCAACCCTTGGTTCGACCCTATTTGAAATATACTAGCCGTGTTGCTATAGCGACCACCACCCGCCAGATACTGTGGCAGGGCTGCTCTTCTCGTAGACAGATAGTACATCATTTTAATACCCTCCTTTGGGCAATAAAATCCCCATATCTTTTCTAAATTGAACTGTATGCTAACTTCTGATGTGCACCACCATGAAATATCAGGGACCTAGGCAATAGCTGCAGAATATTTAGCAGAATGGTATTGCAGCATTATATGCTTCTGTGTTATGTCATGGATTTATGAACATTGCTACTAAAAGAGACTTTACATTTGAAAAATTTAATAACTTTTATGAAGCAGGTGTACAACAATAAAAAGTTTTTATATTATGTATTGTAATAACTTATTTATTTCTTCATGTATTGTATATCATGCATTGAACAGTTGTTCATCTTACATTACATAATTCAGTTCTTCATCTTACATTGGTCATACATTACAGAAATAAAAATAGAAATTAATAAATTAATTTTCAAAATTTTCAGCACAAAGTTACTTATTTTGCAGTCTTTGTACTGAAAAATAAGAAAAAAAAAAAAAAAAAAAAAAAAATTATAGGTTTATGAGCCTCCATGTTTTGGGGGTGGGTAACTTCTTTGTGTATTTGTGTATGCTTTTGCATTTGATGATTACTATCCAAAGGAACATAGCTGAATATTATGTTAATTAATATTTCTCCTTACTCTAGCTTGAAAACTTGCTTAAACAAAGTGATGTCGGAGAAGATTGGCGAGTTGACCCAGTTTTACAAGAGGCTTGTCAATCTGTTGTGGATGCTGTTTGTTCTCAAGAAAAGCCTGGTGAAGGAAGGTAAGATACTGGTTGGACCAGTGGTAAGATACTGGTTCTGTTACTATCAGATTGAGCATTATTGGCTTCAAAAATTAAATGCATGTTAATCATTTTATGAAAAATCTTGTGTAATGTTGTAGTATCTCATCCTCATAGTTCATAATGCCAATTTGTAAATATAAGCTTAAAACAGACTGGTAATTTATTCATCCTGAGTTTTATTTTAATTTATTCACTCTGAGTCTTAAGCTCCAAAGCACACCGGTAATTTATTCACCCTGAGTAGTATTCTTAGTCTCAGAAAAAGTCCGATTTTGTTTCCAAATACCTATATTAGAACAATGCTATATATAAATCTAATACATATCCTAAGTCGCGCTTTCGAGACATGAAAAACACAAGTTGAATTTTGTCAATCGGCCCTGTATAAAGGGAGATATAGAACTGTCCACCCCTTTTTTTTATGCAGTGTACATTATTTAATATGCTTCAATAATAGTGTAATTTATATAGAATGAGGTCCTTGTGACTTGACATGGAAACCCTCTTTTGTTCTAGTCAATCTATTGATGTTAATATTATAGAAATAAGTGATAACACTGCAATGCTAATATTAACAATAACAATTTACAGCTTTAAGGGCAAATTAGTTTAGAAGATACATATTAACCTAGCCGAAAATATTTGCATCCATTTTTAGAATGAGAAATATCATACCCCTTTCCTCCACTTTATAGTTTTCACAGCATTTTGCATTTATAAATACAAATTTTATGTTGTATAAATGTTACTAGATTCACATGTGCTTTAAATTTTGAGGTTTATAGTAAGTATTTTCATTGTTTCCTGAATTCCTTCTCTCTTGCTTTCAGATGTATTAAAAATTAAAATATTAATAATGTTTCATATAGGGTTATGTCATGCCTAATGAAAAACTTTGACTCTCAGCATATGAATGAAGATTGTAAGGAAAAATTGCTCCAAATTCAGTACTTTGTTGCACGAGATTTTAAGTAAGTAACTATGATTTCTGTTACATATGTATTGTAGAAAGTAACTAAAAAGAATGTTACAAGTGAAAATTTTCTGTAGCTGTTGGAATGGGAAAAAAAATAATAAATAGATATGATGTTTTATTCTAAGGTTTAAGTTATTTGAATTGCAGTGTATTCTTTATTTAGTATAAATCTGAGATTTGGAGCTGTCATTATGTCAAAATAATCATGAAAAATTGTAGATTATTGCAATCTCATAATGTTTATAATTTTAGGTTTGATGGTTGTTATGTCTTATTCTTTATAAATTAGTTTATATTGATTTCTTGATGAAATTTTTATCAATAAAAATAAAAAAGGGTTAAAAATGCTGAACATTCATTGTTCAGCTCACTTAAATTCTGGTGAATGGAATGGGTTTCATGAAAGTTTTTTTCTTCATGTGCTACATGAATGCAAGAAAGTTTCTTTGAGAAAGCCTTCCACAAAGGCGTCCCTTCCCAGAGGCAGAATAGCCTTTGAGGATTTTGCTGTAATTTAAATAATTAAACTATTCAAATATTAATCTTTACACGAAACTGTATGTTAAATTAATCTTGTAAGAAACCAGAAGTGTATTTTTCATATTTATTTTACATAATGAGGAAGTTACGTGTAATTTGCAATAGCATTTGGCTTTGTGAGATCTATCACTAAATATTTCTGTTCTGTGATAGAATTTATTATAGTCATTGCTTCATAGGATATTAAGATAAAAGAGATAAAGGGGATCAATGTTTTTTATTGGAATTGTTCATTTTTATGTAAAATTTAGAAAAACCTTTACATGCCAGACTCATTAGTTGAATTTAAAAAAAACTACTAAAGTATTTTTTTAAAACATGTTACTTGCTAGCATTTGAAATCTTATCTTCATAATTATGTAGATCAATTAATGAGATTTTTAAATGTAATTGGTTTGATGTGCTTAGTTTTCCTTTCTTTCCCAATTGCCCATCAGCTGGTATAGTAGTTAGTAATACTGATGGGCCCAAGCTCCGAGAGAAGGCATGTATAGTGTCTGTGCAGCAAGGGAACACTCAAAATACATGATGAGCCAAAAGTCCTCTTGAGAGGTTGGTGGTAGAGAAAGAAGAGTAGGAGACCCTCAAACAACCATCTGGAGTGTTCTGTCTAAATAATAAAAATTTGTAATGCTTATAATATTATTTCAATAAGCAATACTAATGCATATGGATGCAAAAATATGATTTCTTTCAGTAAAGAATGTTAATAATGCAACCTTGTCTCTTGGTTTTATAGTAATGAACATTAAAAAAATTTAATTTCTATTTTTTAAAAATAATTAGCTGGTTGTATCAATTTAGAATAATACATCTTCTATTGAAATAGCTTCAAATTTATCCAACCAGGGGCTGAATTGCTAAAACCACAAAACTGTGATTGTGAACTCAGAGTTCTGTTTCCAGTGATTGAACAGATTGGTTGTGGGAGCTTCTGGTAGTTATTTTCATGAATAACCTGAACATGGACCATAAAAAGCTAGAAAGTCTTTCACAAAGACATTTATCCACATATAGTCCTAGTCCATAGTCAAGTAATTCAATAAAATCAATAACTGTAAATTTAACATTATAAATTTCATCTATTATTTATACATTATTTATACATTTGAAGCATAAAAACTATCCAGTCATTTCCCACAGTTTTAAAATCATGAATGAGATTTGTTTATATTAAATATTTTCATGCATTCTTCCCGATGTATCAGATCCACTCTCTTTTTTATACACATTTTTGAAGGATAAAACTTTATTACTGATCATTTTAATGAATGTACAGTATTTAAAATATAATGTACAGTACAAACACAAAGTAATACATTCTGCAAATACCCAGTCTATCTGGAAAAGAACACCTTTTAATCTTCTTCATCAAAACTTTTAATCTTCTTCGCCGTAACTTACCAACAAATTTAAGAAAGCTGAACAATAGAAATTTCACACACTTAAAAGTCATTCACAAAAATTGGAAAGTTTAAATGAACCCAGTTGTGATCGTCGATGACGGCATGTGTGCATTCACTGAACTCTACGTAACTGTGATATTCCCACACTCTGCAAAGAAACAAGAAAAAAATTACATAACTCTAAATAGAGGAAATTTCTAGAAATGCATGTAATCAAAATTGGCATATAAGATGCACCCCGTTTTTCAGACCCGTTTTTAAAAGGTAAAAAAGTGTGTCTTATATGCTGGCAAATGCAGTATATTATAAATGTGTGATTTAAATCAAAAGAATATTTTAAAAACGACGTTTTTTCTCTTCTGGTTTTAGAAGCAGTTGCGCTAATTTTTCCATCATATTTTTTCTAGGTAGTAAGCTTGTCTCGTCAGAAATTACTTGCAATTTAGTTTTTAAAATCTTCTATGTAGATAATTATCTGTTCTAGTTAATCCACTAAAAAGAAATATTCTTTTGTGTTACTTCAAAAGTCATGAAAAGCTATCTGCCTTTAAAAAAAAGGGGGGGGGCAATCTGATTATCTGTATCCCACAAAAAGACATGAAGAATTGATGAAGCAACGCGTCATATCGCCAAAGATATTTATCTGGTGACACTGGTATAGACAAAGTATCCTTCAGATAGCTTTTCACTTCTTCAGACATTTTTGCCAGTGTGACTACAGATTTCGTTCTTTCTGGTGGGAATTTCAGTACTTGAACATAGCAGTGGACTGCATATTGCTACAGTTTTCAATGAAATCTCAGATTTAGCTCTTTGCGCTCATAGAACATAATGCAGATTGTTTAAAGGTATCATGTGCCTCATTTTTCCCCTTATAGGATTTGGTGCCAAGTTTGTGTAACTCTCGAACATTCTTTTGTTTGAATTTGTGAAAGCTCTTCAAAGTTGGCAACAAGTTTGTAACGTTTTTTTGTAGGGATGTAGATAATCAGAGAGTACCGAAAATTTTCTTCTGTATTATAAAATTGTGCCAAGTTTGTGTAACTCTCGAACATTCTTTTGTTTGAATTTGTGAAAGCTCTTCAAAGTTGGCAACAAGTTTGTAACGTTTTTTTGTAGGGATGTAGATAATCAGAAAGTACCGAAAATTTTCTTCTGTGTTATAAAATTTTACTTTCATTTTCCAATGCTTCCTTATGTATATATTTTTTAATAATTGACCGTATTCTCTCTTTAGACTAGATCCTGTTTTATACAAGAGGTGTCGTAAAGAAGCAGAAAAATACTGTCATGCAAAAAAAGAATGGTATGATAAACCATCAAGGATGGATCCTGAAAGGGGGCCTATAGTTTTACCTTGCCTATATCGTTATGCTTATCATCCAGATAAAAATGTTCAGGTACTTTAATTAAATGATTTCATTAAAATTCAAAAGTTTATTAATTAAATTTAAAAGTTAAAATTATTTATTTTAATTGAAAACTGTGAGTTTACAACATTTGAAATTTATTTCATGTGGGTATGTTTCACTTTTGATTTGTTTTTTTAGTTATCTAGAGAGTGCCTATATGAGGTTCGCCGGGTGATGCGTCAGCGGGCTGTCAGTGTTGATTTATTACCTGAAGTTGAAGAACCTTGCTTATATGATCTTACGAAAGTCTGCAATGAAAATGTTGAAAAAGGAGAAGTAAGTTTTATTTGGAGGTTTCTTTTCCTTTATTCAGAGCTAAGTGCATAGTATTTGTATCGGTACTTTCCAATTATCTGCATACCCATCGAAAATTCACAAATTCATTGCTTACTCTGAAAAGTATTTGCTAAATCATTAATGACTAATTTTGTTTTAAGATGCATGAAAGACAAAAGCCATTTTAAAAAGTGTGGTATACTAAGAATTCCATAAAAGAGATATCAATCAATAAAAACTTTAAAAAAAATAAAAAAAAAAAAAAAAAACAAAACTGCTACCTTTTTCAAGAAATTCTTTTGTAATTCTTTTACACTGTTTATCTTCCCATGTATACAGTGATATGTACTGTTTTGACGTAGAAAAAATCATATTATTGCATAAATTTGGTATTGTTCACTGGTAGACAATAAAAGCAAATATCTGCTGTAATCAGACCAATTTCCTACCCATATTTTAATATGTTGCTTGCCATTTTTCATACTGGTTATCAATAAAATAATTAGAAATAATTTAATAAAAAAAATAATTTGGTGTAAGAAGCACAACTTCATAGAGTGCAAATTTTTGCATTCTCTATTGCTGGGCAAATGCCATATTTCTGAAGAAATGCAGTATTTTATTTTTCTTCAGTTGGAACACTCTGCAGTCTCATTAAAATCCGTTATTAGAAATATTAATTCATTGAAAGAAGGAGCACTAATCCGAAAAAATGACTGTCACATTTCACAATCCACATTTACTTAAACAGATGTATGCTATCTGCATATCTGTTTGTTACATAAATACTTATTAATGATGTGGGTTGCCACATATCTGTTTTGGCAACATACTGCATCATGTTATGAGTGCTTTTTCTTGATCTTTTAGTAGGGGTGCAGATAATCAAAGAGTACCTTGGAATGTAAGTACAAGATGTTATTATTCATTCATAAAGGTACCAGATTCAGTAGTTGATACTTCATTTCATCAAAAGCTGCATTTATTTGTTGTTGATTTTTAACAAATGCTTTGCTAAATGTGGCAGAAGTTAAAAAAATTAACCCGTAGCTTCTGTTTAAATTTATAAAATTAGAATTGTACCAGCTGGTAGGCTTTGTATCTTGAATAATTCCATATGCTGTACATTTGTCATGCTGCTGTCAGTTATCGTTAAATAGAGTAAAAAGTAGGGTTCAAGATGTAGGAAGAACAACTGGGATTAATAGGCAATTTTCTCTCTACAAAGTACAGTTTTTTGATGGATCTCATTATCCAAATACTCAAAATTTTTTTAAATGAATATCCTTTTAATTGGACCAAACTAGCATTGATTTTAATTATTGTTTCCATTTATTGAAGAACAGTCAGAAAATTTGTAATTCATCTAAAACAAGTGTATTCTTTATTAAATTTGGTTAAATAGGAATAAAGGAATGTCTAACCTGTGTAATCATATTGTCAGTATTATTGCATATCAAAAGAAAATCAACTTTCAGTGAATTATAAAAGAAAAAAATTAATCACAATTATATGAGAGTTAACTGCATATACATAACTCTCATATGATTGTGTCTTTTCGTCACTTTTCTGTCACATGCTATGTTTTGCTGGAGTTAATACACTTGCTACATTAGCACGTGGTATGTTTTGAACTTGCTATGTTATATTGGTGGGGCAAGGGGGGGAACATCTGTCTCCAGGCGAAGCATCCAGGCGGCACCAAATTGATGCTACAAAATTTTTAATGAAATGCTTTCCATTCTTGGCACATAGACAGGGGCGCAAATTCTCCAGTTGTCCTCGGGCGCTGGAATCCTAGCTACGCCACTGTATATTAGTATTCTAAATTAAAGGATAATTAAAGGATATTTAAATTTAAAATGCCTATTTTTTGTCATATGGCATATTGCAGTAATGCCAACAATATGAAAATCAGCCTGGATGGTATCAAATTATATTATTGAAAAGAAGGATAAGAACAGGTATTTGGGAATTTGTTAGTATTTCGTGTTCTAAATGTAAATAAAATGATTTAAATTAGCTATACAGAAAAACTTTAATGCACTTTTTCTCAACAAGGATTCCCACTGACCTTGAAAAACCTTGTATATGATTTTTGTATGCATTTTCATTAAAAATGTTTGTGATAAATATGCTTGTCATGTTGCTTTCAAAGAGTCAAAGTACTTCAGGTATACAAATAACTGTGTGTTATAATCTATAAATGAGTAAATTAAACATATTTTTCAATACAGTATAAATCTTTGCTCTTTAGTTTTATTTTGTAATATTTGTTAGGAATCGTGTACTATTTAAGTTTCTTTTGTCATATGACAGACATGTGACATTCTACAGGATGAAATTTTTTTCGTCATTTGGTCATTATTATGGCTCAGTTAATTAAATGTCACCAAGATTATTGGCAAGTTTATGTTCACTTTTTATATATGATTTGTGATTGTCATGTTTCCATATTTGTTTTTGATTTGGCATCATAAACACTTGTAGTTCAAGGATTTCTGCAATGATCTCTGCTAAGTGAGCCTCAAGACTCCATGAGGCTCAAGTGAGCTGGACCTCATTCTTTTTTGTTCCAACATTTAACATTAACCAAAATGCTGAAAGCCTGTAAGTTGATTGGTAAATATCTTGGTACACTGCTGTTAAAAGACAATTGCAGGTTAATTGAAATAGGTTGCCTACTTTACATTACCATGCCTCATTTTGAAACGAGTTCCATAGCTAATTTTTCAATGAAATATCTTGTAATTAAATATTTGATTTTGTTTAAAACTGATGAAAGTATCTATATTTTCTCCAAATCTGTTTTGTGGCATTTTATTTTTTGTGTTTTTTATCATTTTTTAATTTATGAAAGTAAATGTGAATAAATAATATTTTTTTTCTTTATTATTTCATAATGTAGAATTAAATAAAGTAATGAGTCCAATTTTCTTTATCCTTTGTATGGAGAGGAGTAGTACTGCGAGATCTAGTATGCTTTGCTATCATGAAATGGTAACTAGACCTACGTATGGTTGTACCTTACGAATTCTTGCATGGGCATGAAGATGAACACAACAGAGACAGGATGTAAAAGCCCTTTTTATTTATCGCAAACCAGTTAACGAATGGCATGTGCTTCCAACATGAAACACTGTTCACTTGTGGTGAGAACTTAAAATGATAATTAAATAATAAACTTAAAGCTGTAGTGCTAGACTGCACAATTCAATTTAATCTAACAGGCAACTCGGAAACATACAATGGCGATACACTACCTAGACGGCCGGAATGCGTAGCTGCTACTAAACATCTGGAGAACAAAATGACAAAAGTGTGCTGTCGCTAGTAAAATCTCGCTGTGTCTGATCTTTTCGTTCCAACAGTTTAAATACTCATTTTCACCTACTTCATTTTCGTTCTGGCGAGGAAATGTGATGGGAAGTAAGAGAATTCGGGAAAGGCTCACAAATTAAAATAACTATTAGTAAAACTAAATAGAACCTTACAGTACATTTTTTAAATTTATATGCTAAGGTGAAAACTAAAATATTGGATTTGCTATTCTAAAAAAGGAAGAGAAGTACTAAGTTGATAATTTCTTTTCGTGTCTTAGTTTTTCATTAGCTTTTAAGTCACAATGTTTTTTAATGAATGTAGTATTATTTATATCCACGTTTTCAGACTTTTAAAACTTCGTATCATATAATAATGCTTATTGCTTTGTAGGAAATGCTTTGCCTTCAGAAGAATTTAAAAGATTTGTCACCTGAATGTCAGAAAGTTGTTTCAAATTACACTGAAGAAGAATCTGAACACCTAGAGCTGAATTATCCTCTGTTTTTTTCATGCAGTAGTATATTACATAAGCACTGCAATGTAAGTTTTGGGGTTTTTTTTTCCCTATCTTTTTATTTGCTTGTAGTGTGGCTACTGTGAGAGGTTTCCAATTCTAAGAAACATGCTTTTTACATAAAAATATTTCTTATAAATGTTATGAATATACAGTATAGTGTGTTTTATTTAATTATATTATTTTATAATTATATTTTAACATTCTTTGTTTTAAGTCTCTTACTAAACCAAGTATAATATGCTTAAGAAATTGTCTTATTCTTCTGTTTTGAGACAGGATTCAGAAGTGTATGTGTGCATGTTTGTATGTATTTATGTTGATATATGTATGTGTAATACATGCATACATGAACACATCCATACATGCATGAATACATACATTTCTGAATCCAGTTGCGATAACAGAAGAGTACCAGATAGTGAATGTACTGCCATAAAAACACATGTGTTGCTTATTGAAAAAGTCATTGTTTGAATTGTTTTCTTATTTTTCTTTTCTTTCTCTCTCTCTCTCTCTCTCTTTTTTTTAATGTTTGCACTTAATGATGGTTAGTAGATGGTTATAGCACTTATCGCAGGATCTGATTTCAAATCCCACACAAAGCAGGAACCTTAGTGTGTCTGTAGAATGATGGTTCTTAAAAAACATATATATATTATTCCAAAGGTCTGTTTTGAGATATTGATGATAAAGAAAGAGAGTTTTGAGATTTACTTCTCAAAATTCTCAGTCAAAATTGGAATTAATCTTCATATGTTGCCTAATTAAATAATCCTTAGCTCTTCGAGAAATTTACTACTTTTTTAAATATTACTGAAGAATTTTTAAATGCTGGATTTAACAGTTTATGGAATATGGTCCATTGGTACAAAAGTTTTGTTTTTTTGGAGAAAGAAAATCATTAAGTAATTATTATTGTTAAATTCAAATAAGACTGTATTTGTGTAAAATCTAGATTTTAAAAATGCATAATATTATAATGTTACAGTTTTCATGCATGTAATCTATGTTTTTATTTAAGGAATATATTAAAAAATAATCGAAGATTACAAGTTTTTTACAAAGTTTAGTTTTATACAGTTTTTTGCTTTTAAAACTGTCTGTGAAATATAAAGCATTTTTTAATTTTGCAGGATTTGCTTGCTAAAGATGTAGATCAAGGTGACTTGATACAATGTTTAATTCTTCATAAAAATGAACCAGAAATGAAAATGAATCTTAAATGTAGAATATCTGTGGAACACTTTCAACTAGTAAGTTTTTATATTTTACTGTAATAAAATTATCCGTCATGAAGTCAAAAAAGATTTTTTTTTTTTTTTTTTAAATTTATAATCTTCTTTTCAGTATATATATCTTTAATATTCTCTAGAGTAGTATTCAGAATTATTTTAAAATTAATGGGAATTGTTCATATGATAAATTAAAATGTAATTGTAAAGGGCTTGCTGCAAGAAGGGCCCAGATCTACATTTTGAAATTTTTGGAAGGGGTTGGGGGAAATCAAAAATTAATTTTTTTTACTTATATTCTTAATGTTTGTCCTCATTAAAAGTGCCAGTGAAAATAATTTTTTGTGGCTATTCCAATAGCTTTTTACTCCAGTGCAAAAAAACTTTTTTTTTTAAACAACAAAGACCATGAACATAAAATCTATCAAAGTAGAGCTGGTTTTTTTTTTTTTTTTTTTTTTTTTTTTTTTTTTTTTTTTTTTTTCTGCAAGCCCTTCAGTTATTAATATATTATAAAATTTTAATATTTATACACATATAGAGTGGCTAAGCATCTAAAATTGCAAAATATTTTTAATTTGCTCTCAAGTTCTGTTCCTTACTATTGTGAATGGACTGGTTACGTAGGGTATTTTTGTGTCCTCCATATGTGACACAAATATGCACAGGCCAGTTTCTATTAAAAGAATCCTTCACAAAAGCAGTATTTCCCCTTAGGGCAGATACTATTTGTATGCATTGTAGTTAAATAATTCAATCTAATTTCCATTTTGCAAACTCTTTTTCTTGCCTATATATCTCTTTAAACATGTGCAGATATTAAAATTTTTATTATAAGAGGCATTTATAATGTAAATGTATTATTGATATTCTACTTTTATTTGGTCAATGACTTTTATTTTTTGTTTTTCTGTAAAATTAGATGGTTTTGTAATTTATATTAGTTATGCCATAATATAAAAAAAATCCAGTTTTTGAAATTTACATGCTTTTTAAAGTAGATTTAATATAATTTCGATGTGTGTCTGGTAAAAACATCATGCATGCTTCAGAGAAAGGCAATGTGAGGGGAAAGCATTATTATGTAAAACACTGAAGTAAAAAAAAAAAAAAAATATGCTAGGAGAAAAGATTTCAGTTATCAAATATTGCAGGAAAAATATCATGATGGAAAATGTTTACAGTTTACAGTTTTCAGGTGTATGTTTGCTGTTTCAGTGTATGATAATATATAAGTGTGAGAAATTTTATCCATATCTTTTTAACTACTTAATAATGTTTAACTGAAAAATCGAAAAAAGAAAGGGAGGTAGGTATTCAAAATCTGAAATTAAATAGAAATTGCAAATATATGTAGTAGTAGTTAGTAGAATTTCAAACTTATATAGTTACTTAGCTATTGAGAGACAGTATTTAATTATTTTTGTAAAAATACATTGGTAGTTTTAATGAAAAAATATCACATGAAAAAGTGTAAGGAAAGGAAGATAAATTGTGTAATTTATTCCTCTTTCTAACATGTAATTTTGTTAATTTTTTCATGCAGTTAATTTTTTTGTATTTTAGTTACAATATTGTTAAAGAAAAAAGATTTTTGTTTACATCAGACATTTAGAAAACTAAAATTTAAAATTTCTAGAAAGTTGAATGAAGTTTTCAGGCATAAAATAATTAAACTTTCACATTCAGGTATTTCTTATCAGAATACTTTTTTATATTATTTAATTTCCTCAAAGATGTTTTATTTGAAGAATGTGTTATACATGGTGATCTTTTTTAAAGTGACAGTGTTTGGAGCACCCTGTAGTACGATCTAATAGCCGAAATGGCACCAAACTTGGTATTTAGACTAATCAAAACATGGGATATCAAGACATACAATCATACAGTTAAATTATTAATGTTTATTTACTACATTAACTTCCCTGGTGAGGAATTAGACCACATTCAATGTGAGCACCGTTCTCAGAAAATAACACCGTGCATTCTGTGCACGAGGTTCTCCATAGCCATATGTAACATATCACGAGGAATATTCCGCAATGTCTTTGTTATGTTGTCCTTTAGAATAGACAAATTTGATACTCCACCAACATAAACTTGAGATTTTAAATAACCCCAGAGCCAAAAATCGCATGGTGTGAGGTCAAGGGAACGAGGCAGCCATGCAACTGGAAATCTGCGACTTATGACTCTATCATCAGTGAAGTTTTAGCGCAACAGCTGCTTTTACCTTATTGCTAATGTGTGGCGGAGCACCATCCTGCATAAAGATTGTCTGTTGGAAACAGTTTCTTTGCTGAAGTTGTGGAATAACAAACATTTGCAGCATTTCGTGGTACCTTTCTGCATTTACGGTTCACGTTTGGGGTCCTGTCGGAGTGATGGTCTCAAAAAAGAATGACCCAATTACAAATTCGGCTGTGAAACCACACCAAACAGTGACTTTTGGGGAATTTAATGGGATTTCGTGCACAGTGTGGGGCTGCTCAGAAGCCCAAATTCGGCTATTTTGTGTGTTTACGGACCTATTGAGATAAAAATGGCACTCATCTCCTCACAGAATGTGCCATGGGAAAGCATCATCAATTTCTACCCTGGCAAGAAATGATAGAACTAATGTCACTCCTTTATCATATTCACCTGGTTTCAGGTCGTGCAAGCAGCTGATTTTCTAGGGGTAAAATTCAATAATGCGCCGCAAAACTCTCCATACCATGGAATAATTCACGTCCAATTGTCAAGCTACACCCCGGGTGCTGCTAGTACCAGCCAACGACTTCATATAACAGGTAGACGGCTCACCTACAGAGAATTCGTCTGCTAGGGTGTCTCCAACATATACCACGTGACTAATGCTCTTGGCGCTCTTGGGGAATGATAGCTTAGGCTGTTCATCGCCAGTTTGGCCCGCTTTTGATATGGCAGGTAGTACTTTTTATTTCCGTCTGCTAGCAGTCAGCAGACAACGGCCTCGAATTAGGTTGTTCGATTTTTTACAATTATATTTAGATATAACTTAACCCCTTTTTTCCTGAATATTTTATCTATATTTTTAATAATTGCTTTAAATTATTTGCACCATTGTTTAAGATGTTTAGGTTAAATAATTTTAGGAAGAAAATCTAAAATAAATAATAAAAAATTGAGATGGAAACTTTAATTTTGAATAACGTTAAAAAATTAATTGCACTACTGTTATAATATTTGAGAAGGTAAAAAAAATCTCGTTTAATTTTAATGCATTGCATCCTAAAGAGAAAAAGAAAATCACATTGTATTATATGTATTTATGCCATTGATTTTCTTTTCTTGAGATTATATTACTGGAACAAAATAATGCAATCTTAATTACTGATTTCCACACTCATGTGTATGTCATGGGGGGATCAATACATCTTATTAACTATAAAAATTATTTTATATTGAATATGTATCAAACGGTAACAAACTTCAACTCAGTATTTATTATTAGGATCAAAACGATATTACAGTTAAAAATTCTCTCACTCTCCTTTTTTTTTTTTTTTTTAAATACTATTTAAAATATGGTAAGTTTTTCACATCGCATTTTTTCAATTACAATAAATTTCTAACAGCATCGTAGATGAGACAGAATTATAATCCAGATTATTTTTATTTTAATTGATTTTATAGAAAATAATGATAAAGCATTGAGCTTTATAAAAGTAATCTGATTTTTAAAATAATGCTGTTTAACTGTTTATGTTCAATGTTGCATGAATCAAGATCTTTAGCTTTTTTTTTAACAAAGTAAACATATCGCACAATCTTTTCTCAATAATTTAATGCTAATAATAGCGTTTTTCTTTTTTTATCGCAGGCAGTAATTGTTTATGAAATCAAAACGCGTACGACTTGGCGAAAAAAGGTTAACGCCAATTGGCGCAGCTTTCTATTTCAACGGAATACACGGAAAAAAACATATAAAATTCAATTATTTGTAAAGGGTGATTCCAGTAAATAGTGTCACAGTATTTAATACATTTTGATGCTAATAATACATGCTGAAAATGTCATATACGGCGGCAATTTTCTTATACAATATGGCTGAAACTTTCCAACCAATTCAACAGAGATAGTAAAATGACAAAAATACTGAAAATAAAATAATAAATCATGCAGTTTTAACTTACCTATGAAAGGTTACAAGTCCTCCTTTCACGAAACTTTCTTTACATCCGTAGGCGGTGCAGCGAATAACCATTTTTACTTAAATTTTATGTGACCAAGCAGAGCAGCAGTCTTTTGTCCCATAGAAAGCAATGTAAAGTATTTCCCGACTTTCGGAATTCGCGCAGCAGTCACGTGACACTAATGTTGGAACCGGTTGAAGGTTGCAATACGCTCTCTACCAGTATATTATCTCGTTGGTACCAGCAATGGTTCCCTGCGATCCTTCGACAATTGCAGTTGCCACATCAGTTATTACATCTTCTGATACTAGTTTACGTTCTCTTCCAGCGAGAATGGTCAGTGATCCCCGTTTCCTCGAACTTCTTAATCATTTTCTTAAGACCATTCAACGATAAAGGCCCCTTTCATAATTTTTTTCTGGTTCGAAATTCCCGAAGAACTGTGGATGCATTACATTTTGATTCATGTAATACAGTTTCACCAGTAACGCACCTTCTGGTAACATGAGAGGCATGTCCACTGGAGCTCATTTACTTCAGCTGAGATTATTTGTCGGAGCTGTCTACTACTTGCTTTTATAGCCCCTTTTACTGACACTGTCATTGCATGAGATATGTATTTTTTTATACCCGTGTTTTATGCTAATTCTCATTATTGTAAGCTACAGCAGTGCCTCAAATGTCCTAGCAGCGATTTTTGAAACTAAATTTGTTTTCACGGAATCCTTTTCCCCCATGTCTTGATTAGTCTAAATAACAAGTTTATTGCTATTTCGGCTATTAGATCCCGCTACAGGGCGCTCCAAACACTGTCACTTTAAAAAAGATCACCCTGTATATATATATAAACATACATATATAATAAGAAGACTTGGAGTAAGCTGCAACAGATTGACGATAGTTCTTTGCATTATATTCTGGGGAGACTCTACTGCGTATTTTAAAAGATGTCACTCGAAGGAAAGACATGGCCAAATTGAATATAAATTTTATTGGTGGATACAAACTAGTTATTAAAAATATATTCTTTATCACACATGATCATGAGTACAATACGCACCCCACAATTTTATATACAGTATCACAATTTAGATAACAGCATAGTTGGGAGTACAATAAGGCAAACGGAGCAGCTCACCAAGAGAAGGTTTTGGTTTAGATTAGAAAGGTTTTATTTCTCAAAATTTTGAGTTCAGTTTCTTAGTTAGCTACCTCATCAATGTTATACAAACTATGCAAGATGGATTGATCTAGAAATGATGCAGTTCATAAAAGCTATTAATACAATTTTTGGGGAATTAAGGGGTTACCGCTAGTTTAATTATAATGTTGATTTATATTATATTTTATCTTGCATGTGTGTATGAGGAAAGATTATATAATAATTTTATGAAGCTGTGAAATACTTTTTCCTCATATACTAGTGACATCTTTACACTCCCCAGTGGACAACTGGATAAAGCTATGGAATGGCTGATAGTTTAATCAGTTTTGAATCCCTAGTGAACAAGCTGTCTACATGGGTATTTTTATGATTTCCTTTATGTGTAACAATAAATATAAGCCGATTTCCTTTAAAATATCCCCCAAAAAGCATCCATCCGAAGCTTATGAGCCTTGAGTGGTTTGCTTTAATTTAAATTATCAACCAACCATTAAAAATAATAGATGAGTTTTTTTTTTTTTTTTTTTTTTTTTTTTTTGGGCCTTTGCAATAAAGTAAATATTAGCTTACTTTTTTGGAATTTTTTCCTCCTGTGTTTTTCTATGGAAAACTACAGATAAAAAAAGATTTTTATAAAAGTAATTAATTAAATAATAGCTAATTACACAAATTTAAAATTATATTAACTGCTGCTGTATATAATTGCAATTTATAATCATTTTCAGATTTTGAAAAACATAATATAGGTAGAAACATTTGCGATTTCTTCTTGCTGTTACAAATAATTATGTTTTGCAACAGCAAACATGCATTGGAAATTTTTAAGTCTGAAAATAATATCTGGAAAGGTATCTTCATGTGAAGTTTTATAGTTATTTTACTTTTAATCTTTATGTTTTGTACTACGATATTTTAAAACTTTGAAGTTTTGTTCTGGGTAATTTTCTGCCAGGATGTTTTCTGTTGTAGTGTTTTGTATGAACAGTGCTTTCCCTTAATGTTGTTTTCTGTACAAAGTTTTCATTGGTGAAACCGTTTTCATGTCAGTATAATAGGATTGCAGTGTAATGAGAGTGAGTTTCTGAAATGTCATAGTTTATCAGAATTATAAGTAGAAGATTTTTTAAAAATGGGCACTTACATGATGGAAATACACTGGAAATGTCTGATTTTCTCTTTGAAAGTTATTTTAATTAAATGCTGTGGTATGGTATCCATTTTTATAAAATAATTTTTTAATTTTCAATTTGTCATAAAGTAATTAAAAAGATGGTCAGTAGCAGTTTTTCAGATACAAATTTTTCTCTTAATTTTCAGCTTTCTTTAAAGAATTATAGGTTTAGCTACAAATTTAAAGAAGCATGCAAAAAGGATGTGCTCCATTTGTGCAAAAGTGTTAAGACAAAGTAAGTTATTAAAAAAATGAGGTTTCTGTGAATAAATTACATTTAATTTACTACTTTATTTACCCATAATTATTTTATTTTTATTTAATTATTTCATTTACCTATAAAATTAACTTACATTTGAAGATGTCTCACCAAAATAATTAGAGCTTAATCTATCTCTCTGTTAACAAATATTATTGCTTCAGAATACAAAATTATAAAATTTGACTCATAATTATTTTTCTATATTCTTAAAATTATGATTTTTATTATTCTGGACAATATTATAGATGGGAGTAATAAATTTTGCTGTTGTAATTTGGTAAATGATATACATGATATAATTTATTTAATTTTTTTGAAAATCTAATAATTTTGTTCCAATATATTTTAGACCTGAAGTGATAAGCTGTTTAAGTGGCTATGTAACTAATGATACGATTTTTGAAAAACCACATCGTGTTTCAAGAGATTGTAGACAGCAATTAAAGTTTGAACTTTTTGAAAGGGTGAGTGATTAATATTTTTATTTGTTGCTTTATTTTGTTTAATGAAATCATTTGCTGTTAATGAAATGGTTCAGTCAGTGATGAATGTGTGGTGAATATATTACTTCTGATGTATGGCTTTTAAAATTATAAAAATGAGTTTTGATTTGGTTATCAAAATAAAATGAAAATTTCTCTCTATGGAAATAGAAAACTAATTATGTTGTAATTTCTATAAATGAAAGTTCTAAAAATTTTGAAAATTAAAGAAATAAATTGTTCATAAAATATGAATCAAATAGGAAGGGATATTCAGTAATATTAATGCACAAATCTGAATGCATGAGCACAAATCTGAATGTACATTTCAGATATTGCTTCATTGCTTAATGTATTGATGGAAAAGCATTGTTATATCATGTTTTTTAACTCATTGATCAATTTTATGAAAATCGCCCAAATAATCTAAATGTTGCATCTTTTTAAACCCAAACCATTGGGGTGTAAGACCATTTACAGTAGCATAAGAACCACTAAAACTTGATTTTTATAACAGCGGGATACGATACTCTTCACTCATGAGAGTTGAAGTGACTGTCTTACTGGTGGGATCTGAAGATATTTAGAGTTATAAGTGATTCTGCATATTAGCTGATCTAGAAAGAATATGGAGAATGATTTCATCGGGCAATTTTGGTATGGAAGAGCAGGTGTTATGGTTTGAAGTGGCATAATGTTCAATGATGTTCTGAGCTTCATTTTTTTGGGGGGGTTAAATATCCCTAATGGCAGACTCTTACTACAACGAGGTGATACTTTCCCTTGTGTCTTCTCTGAGGTGCCATTTGTTCTGTTCCTTTTATATGGACACACTGTACCAAGCTGTATATAAATTTCATATATCTTGGCATGCAAAGTCTGAAGATCTCAATCCTGTAATATTTTGAGATATCTCATAGTGTCCATCTAGCAGTATGCTCAAATTCAGTAAAAAATGTTTATCAACTGAAAAGAGCACTTACAAAGGAGTGGGCAGTGTTGACCATCTTCTGTGAAACATGGTTAAATGCTTCAGAGCAATCATTGAAATTAAGAGACATCATATTTCCTCTAAACATCGTCTTATGCTTTTATTCCATCTATGGAATGGACACATCTGTATAATGGTCAGTCATGCTTTAGTTTGCCATATTAAACATTCTATTGTAATCTTCATTGGGCTTGTGTTTGAATTCCAGAGATAGCTTGGATGTTTGTGTCTTTATGACATGAAAGGACTTAAAATACATGGCGAGATGAAAGTCCTCTCGTCCGTTTGGTGATATGAAAAGGTATGTGAGAGACCTTTGGATCTATCTCCCGCAGAATTCTTCTTTAAAATTGAGACAGAGCTGGGGAGAGTTACACTGTAACATAAAAGTCCCAAGACTCCAAACCTATGAAAGGTGCAATCTTGCATTCCTTGGCTCATAAAAATTCATGGATTTGTTCTGATTGTATTGTCAGGCAAGTATGAAAAGTCACAACATCAGTGTAATTTTATAATTATTATTTTATGTAAGGTATTTCAAAGTCATCTGTAATTTATTCGTCTGAAAAATCTTTGTACGGTTTGTTTTACTTCTTATTTTGAGACAAAATTTATTAATTTTGTTTTAATGTTTGGTTTTGGGGAAAGGGTGAAAGTTTGTATATTAGAATATTCTTTTTTAAGCTTATCTTTTTTAAGCTTATTATAAGCTTTATAAGTTCTCATTGAATTTCATTCTAAATAACTGTTTCAAAATATGATTGTTTGATAACTGAGTATTGGCATTTTTGTATTTAATGCATAGGAAATTTAAAAAAAAAGTTAGCCATTGTTCTGTGCACATTACATTAATTAAAATGCATATTTACTTAAAAATAAGCTCCCCCTTATTTTGGCTGTAATCTAAAATTTAATGAACAGATATTTTGATAAATGGGAGGAAAGAGTTTATCATACTAGATAGAGTAATTACACAGTTTAAATTTTAAGTAAATGGCATAAGTTATTTACTACATATATGAACAGCATAATGCTTGCTCATTATAATAGCTGATTTTTATTTCAAGTTTCCATTATACTGGTCACTGGAATGCCCAAAGACAGGTATTGGGTATTTCGGAAAGTAATTTTGTTTGTCGCATGATGAAAAAACAATTTTATAATGTATGAATATTTTATTTAATTATATAATTACTATTTTGGTCCAGTACCTTTTACTATCTTTCTTGGTAGAAGCATGATTCCATGCTCAAGTTCTGAGCTTTGTTTACAAAGAATTGATCCAAGGGATTTTTGAATTCTCATTTGAAGTAAATGTTTTACTGTTTAAAAAATTTTGTAAAGCTAAAACAGTTAATAATCTGATGATTTCAGATCTAGCGAATTTGGTGGGTGTGCTAGAACATCCCAACCTGGCATTATTATGGTGAAACACTACATCTTTTCCTTAGCTCAATTGTGACCATTTCTGTTTAATGGTATCATTCAGTTTGTTTGACTTGATGACAGCATGCATTTGAATCAGTTGTAAAATTGTCTGGTAAAAATTTAAAACAAAATTTAAATCTCATCAAACAGAGAGCATCACTTTTTTTTTAAATGGATCTCAGCATTTTAAGTGCTTTGAGCTAGCTCATCTCTTCTGTACCTTGGCCACTTGCATTTGCCATTGTTATAAACATTCCATTTCTTGTCACCAGTTATGTTTCAATTCAAAAATGATTTCATTTTCTTGATGTTTGAGAAACAAAATACAGCTGTAAATGCAATGGAACAAATCTGTTTTAAGAGAATTTGTAACTCATGCATCGAGTTTTGAAATTAAACTAAGTTGTTTCAAGTGATCATAAACAGTTAAATTCAACAGATTTAATCTTTTAGCAGTTTCTTGTTCAGTCTTTCATTGCTTCAGTCGATATCTTTATTTTGTCTTCATTGGCTTCACATGGCTTTTCCAAACAAAGTGCATCTTTAACATCAAAATTGTTGGAAAAAAATTTTTTGAACCAATTTTGGGACCAACATTCTGAAAAAAATCCTCTCCACACATACAGGTTACACAATTTCTTTTTTGTTTAAACAGCACTTTTACCTTTTTAGTAATAAGAAAAAACAAAATATGTCTTATTGATTTTTGTTGGATATCTGATCTTTTCCATTCAAACATACAAACAAAAACTCTGAATCAAACAAAGTTTTTTTACGAAAGAGTCTTGAAATATAAGCTGTCAAAATATACAATGACAATATGATTTAGCATGAAGTTGGCAGGTAATCTCTTTGGCAGCCAAAAAATTAAATTGTTTTCCAGCAACCAAATAAGTAACAGTGTATAGCTAACAATGTCTCTAGTGATATTATTTCAAGGAAAAGGGGAAATACTGTTCTCTTCCAGAATCACTGCAAGGGAAAATAATTGACCTACATTTTTTATTTCTGAAGATTTATTCTAAAATATAAGGGGGTATTTTGGTATTTTTATATTCCAGGAGTTCTAATTTTCTAGTAAAAATTTTACTAACCAAACTGGAATAAAAACTTGCCAAAGTAAATTTTAAATCAACCAAAAATGCAACTTTAGTATGGCATAGATTTTGAATTAAATGCTCTTTTTTGAGGGCCATCAAACACAGGCCCCTCTCCTTCAACAGAAAGAGGGAAAAAAAATTATCCCCTCCTCCCTAAGAAGAGGGACTTGTGTCAAATCTTCCTCAAAATACATATAAAAATATCCCAAAGCAAGAAGTTTTTTGTTTTCTTTTTTGGGGAGGAGGGTTAATTTTAAATTTTACTAAATTTTCGAGTGGCTCAACCTTTTTTTAATCATAAGTTTATGTGCCTTTGTATTTATTGTTTTTTTTTTTTTTTTTTTTTAATCTTTTGTTCTGTTGTTTTCCTTAATGGTTTAGAAATCATTCTTATAATTTATAGAATAAATTACAAATTGAAAAGTAAAATATATAAAAGAAGCTAATAATGAAAAATATAGCTCTTTCTGAATATTATGAGAGATAGACTGTGTAGTATTATTGTAGTACTATAGAATAAGCTACTTATAATTTAGTAAGCAATTTTATCTCATGTTTGTGATTTTTTATTTTGGTTTGTTTATATTAATTTGTTCTGAATTCAGCTGTGTATTAAAAATTTAATTGACGATGGATACATGAAGTATAATATAAAATATTTCTTTGTTATGACTAAATTTCAGGATGAAAATATAAAACTTGATCCAAAATTAAATTTAGATTGCGCTGAAGACCAGAAAAAATTCTGCAGCAATGTCAGACCTGAAGAGGCACAGGTTTGTAATTTTTTAGCTTTCATTTAAGAACGGACATTTTTCTTGATATTTTTCATAGTTTTTTTGTGTGCTACAATTAATGTTTTCAAAATGAATGCTTTATTTTAAAAAATGTAATTAATGTTGTAGGGTTCTGAAAATTTTAATGCATAATGTAACTGTTTATGCAGATGCTGGAATGTTTGAAAACTCATCAAAAGGAATTGTCATCAGACTGTCACAAAACAATATTTAACCGGGAAAAAGAAGAAATGATAGATAATTCAATTGACTATGCCTTAATATCAACTTGTAAGCCGATGATTAAGAAGTATTGTGCTGATACAGATATGTCTCAGGTATCCTGAAAATTTTATATTTTAATAAATTCTAAAGTGTTCCTATCAAAAATTACTATTAATAATAGTAAGTTAGATGTGCATGATAATTTTGTATTTGTTTTTGAACTTCTCTTTGTTAAATATTTTAAAACTAATATTTCTCTTTATTATAAAAATGAGTATTAATTTTAGCAAAAATATTAAAATACTTGCATTTTATAGATTTTGGATTGCCTTAAAGAGAAACGAGATGACAATGGCATGGAACGTAATTGCAGAAAAATTATCATAAAAAGAATGGTGGAGCAGAATTCAGATTACAGGCTGAATCCACGACTGAAACATGCTTGTATTAGAGATATCCCAAAATTTTGTTCCATGGTGATTGCAGAGAATAAAGATGCTGAGGAGTTTGAAGGAAAGGTATGTAGGTTCCAAGTATTATTGTAGTCAAATCCAGATTACACTGATCATACGGTAGCCTGTAATAATGTATCATACATTATCATATATATATATATATATACACAAGGGTGAGTCCAAAAATAAGTTTCCCCAAGGAAATCAAACAGCAGTGAGGGTAATAAGACGGCAGTTGGAACACGAAAGGCACCCTACACCATTGGGTATTGTTCGATCACGATCAAACAGATGGTGCTGTCACAGTGCCTGCACAGAGTGGAGACGGCCTCTCCTCTCAGTCTGATCCTGGTAGGTAGGGAGAGAAGGTGCGTTTTGAATTTGTAATCAAAGGAGGAAGTGAGAGTGGTTGTCTGCTGTGAATGGGTGCATGGAATATCGAGAGCAGAAATTCAAAACTGTGTTCTGGAAGTCTATGGCCAGATGTGATGTTGAAACAAATGGGGTGGAGATGGTGCTGCGAATTCAGCGAAGGACGTAAGCAAGTGCTGGGCAGACGTGCACAGCCACCACAGACAAAAATGTTTGTATAATAGATACTATGATTGAAACAAACCGTCATATAACCATCGGTGAAGTAGTGGGAAAACTTGGAATCGGACATGCGCGAGCTCACAAGGTCATGCATGACGTTCTTTGATACCAGAAAGTGTCTGCATGATGGATGTCCCAACAACCAACCCCAAACCACATGGAACAATGCATGGCAGTCAGCCTGTGTCTTGTTACCATTGTGATGGCAATGAATTTCTGTCTCAGGTTGTGATGGGGGATGAAACGTGGGTCTACCATTTCACATGTGAATCAAAAGCTGTATCTATAGAGTGAAACCATATGTCATCACCTGTCTGAGAGAAATTAAAAACAACTTCCATGTGCAGGTAAAGTGTACCCCATGTACAGCTTTTTTGGGTCGTTCAAGGAGTTCTGTTGCTGGACTTTTTTTTTAGATTGGAACCATCAATGTTATGCAGTACTGTCACACCCTGTCGAAATTGAAGGAGGTTATTAGGAAAACATGGCCTGGCCTTCTCAGATGTGGCATTCTGTTGTTGGGAGTATGTGAGACCACACTCGGTGATAGCAACAAAAAACCATATTGAAACTTGGTTCCATACAGTCCTGATCTCACATTTAGTAAGTTCCAACTATTCCCAGCTCTGAAGAAGAATCTGAACGGAAGGCGCTTTGGAAGCAATGCTTAAGTCACACAAGCTGTTCTTTTCTTCCTTATGCAGAGCCCTGATTTTTATTTTGAAGCTTATCAAGCAATGTGACAAATGTCTCAATGTACTTGATAATTATGTAGAAAAATAAAGTTAAGTTTTATCTCTAATGTCTCCATACACATTTCTGTTCAGTCACCTGGAAAAAACTAATTCTTGGACTCTCCCCTGTGTATAAAAGGAGGGGGGGATTTTAAGGTGCAAAATTATAAACAAAAATAAAGGGGAGAAGATTCTAAAAATGTTTATAAAAAAGTGCTGATAAAAGGCTTTTATTCAGTTGTTAAACTGTTATATTAGTATTTATTCACTCTTGAATGAATAATGTAGGAAATTTAAGAAACAAACATGCTATCTATTGGGTTTTAAAAACTTGTAAAAAATAATTATTTATGTGTTTTTGTTTATTTCTGTGTTTTATAAATTGCTGATGTTTTGAGTCCAGAAGATTCTTATGTTTGGAGAAACTGCTTAACATCAACAGAAGTACATATTTTAAGAATACCCCGTATATCAAGGTGTTAATTTTTTTATCCAGATGCCTTCTTGTAGACCAATAAATATAGCAATCATAAATATTAACCCCTTAACTGCCACGGGCATATATGTACGTCTTGCTCCCCCAATGCTTTAACTGCCCCAGGCATATATATATATGCCCTTCCAAAATACTATCATTTGCTTTGCGCTGCTACCCATAAATTATTCGCAAAGTTTTGGAATGCAACACCGCAATGACCTTGACAAAGTATGCGAAGGAGGATACTATTTCAGAGAAGTGTGGGGGATGAACGTAATGACTGCGCGGTACTGGCTGGTGTTGTTTGAGTAAAACATATTTTTTTTATTATTCTGTGTCCTCCGTTTTCGTTTACTTTTTGTAGTAGGTTCCAGGAATAAAGAAAGATATAACAGATGTTTCAAACACATTTATCTTTTTTATGAACTGCTCGTGCTTCATATTGTTACTGAGACTAACTGTTTTGTAGATGAGTATTTGAACCAACACCTTGCAAACGAAAAATCAAGACCAAAATCGTGGCATTCAACCAGTTCAGAAGAAATATATGTTTTTTTAGGCATACTGATTTCACATGGTATAACACTGAAACCTGATATTACACTTTACTGGTCTAAAAATGAATTGATCAAAATTCCATTTTAAGGAATCTTTTTTATTATAAAAACATCATTTTCATTATACTTGCATCTTTTTATTATACTTTTACTCAAAACATTAAATTTTGTGCATTCATTTTTTTCTTTTATTCTTTATTTTGTGAAAGTAAACAGTTTTTAGAAAGCAAAACTTGCACTTATTTTCCCTCTAGTAAACGCATAATTACATGCGCCTGTGTGAAAAACCGTGGCACTGGGAAATGAATCTTGTATATTTTCCACGGCAGTTAAGGGGTTAAGCAGAGTGGTACCTCATCAGATAATTAAAATTCATTGGTTTTCCTGATGGATGTGTAGGACAATAGTGAAAGCTCGCAGAACTAATTTGGTACAGGATGTTTTGCAAAAATTCTTGTCCAGTAGAGAGTGTAAAATCAGCAATAAAAACAACATGAAAGCACATTGGATTGGAAGAAGTAGGCAAGATATCTCAAATGTTTCCTGCAAAATCCTTAGTATGCTTAGCTTTAACAAATTCATGTATCAGCCTTTTGTGTAAAACAAACCATAAAGGCTGCTATTTTGTTCTTTAATATTTTTTCGCTTAGAAATCAGCTTTCTCATTTCCTGGAGCAATGGCTAGAAGTCTATTGGAAAGTACAGTACTTGACTGAAGGTTTTCAGACATTTTGTTTGGAAGCTTTATTTATTGTTTGAAAGACAAGAGTCCAATTTTCAAAAACAAGTGTAATGTTCTCAGTTTCTTTATTACGATTTATGTCATTTAAGTTCACAGCATAGGACTCTTCAATGTATTTCTTACAAAAATGTCCGTCACTGGCATATCTATTATCTCTAGCTAGATCATCAATGTAAATATGAAGCTAATTTAAACTTCTTTAAAAAGTGAAGATGCTTTCTTAGAGTTCATTTGTAAAACTTTTGGAATGGCTTAGTGTTTGTTTTCAGATGCACCAGTTCTAAGGTTATATGATATGGAAATTAATGCTTAGGAAGAGAAAAATTATTAAGAATGAGTGGCTAAGAAAGTAGGTTATAAAAGTTTGAAAACTTTATTTTGAACCATATCAACATTTTAAAACCCTGTCGATGGTTAATAATGCTGAAGTAGTGATAATTAGTTTACTTTCTTAATCCAAAATAAATCTGACATGGGTTTTAGTATTTGACAAGTAGGGCACACAAATCTTGGCTTGTACTACATAATTTAGCCTTAGTTTTAAAAGCCTTAGTTTATTGATACTTTAATCAACCATCTCCTCGGTTAATATTGACAGGAAAGTTTACTAATGAGGATGACGCTAAAGCAACAGTAGAAGTCAACTTCTTTTAAAATTTGAGAATTACATTTGATATATATTTGATGAACTTGATGGAGAGAAAGAAGAGCTTTTAGGCAGTTCTATCTAGATTTACAGTCATAAAGTTTTCATTGCATCATATTTATAAAATCTTTAAGGCTTCATTCAGTTTTTTATTTAAAAATATCTTCACTAGTAGTTTAGCTTCACAAGTAGATCTTGTAAGACATTGAAAGGGAATTTAGTTGAAGTTGTAAATGCTTCTGCATTTGGATTGTTTCTCGAATTTAATCCAAATTTGTTTGTGGCAGATTCAGTGAAGTTTTCCCTTAATTGTTTGTCAGCTTCATTTCTTACTCCTTCCCCATACCTTTTTTTTCCAAACTGTGAAGGCAATAATGGTTTTCCTAAAAAAGATGGTTGTTTCCACAGCAAGCAATATTAGATAACAGTAAATCCCACAGAACTCTCCAAGTAATACTACTGTAATAGTAAACAGTATTACTCAAGTAACACTAAATGCACTATCAAAATAACACTCTTGGTGGCTGGATGGATGGGTGGGGGAGGCATATGCAATATAATGTGTGATTTGATATAATTAAAATCCAGATATATATATATTTAAAAAAATCTTTATGAAAACAGTTATATATTTTAAAATCCTTTCTCAGATTTTTGTCATATATTAATGGTTGTAAAATCATATCACATCGTCATTAAGAACTTGTGCTGCAGTGCCGGGTTGTATTAAGTTATCAGTTCATTTTAGCAGATGATGGTAAATATTGATAATCATTTCCTAAAGTTGTGTTTAGTCATGTTTACTTTATTGATAGAATTACTAAAAGGAATTTCATATGTTGATCTATTCTGTTTGTCATATATTTATTCTAAATTTTTATCGTGTCCCTCTTTGATTGTATGGGTTATTTGTATCGAATTTGCATTATTCTTAATTATTTTTTAGTATTTTTGAACTTGGTGTATTAGTGTATGTTAAAATAAATACAGTACAAAGTCTGTAATCGAGACGCCCATTATCCGGAATGATCTATAATCCGGACCTAAAAGCCACAAACTTTTTTTTTGTATGCTTTACGCATGCACATAAAAAAATATGTGCGCATATATTACGTGCATTATGCATGCGTACATTGAGAGAAATGGTTTAATAAAGTAAACAAATAAATATTAAGCTTTTTTTTTTGTAAAATTTGATACCCTTTAGATCATAATTGCTCTTTATTTCATAAATTATGGTTTCATATTTTTAATTGCCTAATTTCTGCATGCTATCTTACCAGATTAAATTGATGATCTATAATCCGGAATCGCCGAAGTCCTGATGAGTCCGGATTGCGGACTTTGTACTGTATAACTAAAAATTTGCTCACAAAGTGGTGTTAAAAATTTAATAAGTTTTTTAAGTACGATAAAAGGTCTTTCCCACCTTCTAGGTAATTGGTTGTTTGAAGCAACAATACCGTAAGAACAAGAAGCTGTCCAGATTGTGCGAAAATGAAATAGTGCATCTAATGCGAGACGCCGCACAAGACTATAATTTAGATCCTCAACTAGCCCACGCATGCTCTACAGAGGTACAGTTTTTTTACCTTTTTTTGCATGGGTTTGAAAAAGTTATTCTGTGTTTGAATATTTTTAAAGATTCTTAAAATAAATAAATAAAATTGTATCGTTACAATTTTTTTTAAAATTTGTATTTCTTTACCATCTTAGGAATGAGATTTATACATTTATAAAAAAGCATCTTTTAACTTTTTAACTCCTCTTAAATAGAATTGTTTTTCAGGAATACTCATAACGTATTATTTTTTATAGCTATCACTTACTGTAATGTAATATTTTCTTAATTTTTATTTCCCTAATTCATGTAATTTCACTTGTTGAAATAAAATTTTTATCGTGTGAGAATTATTTTCTCTCTCTGTTCAGGTTAACCTTGATAGTTAATTGCTCTTAACTTTGATATTAATATGAGAAATTAAGGTTTTGTTTCGCATGTTTGTGATATTGCCATTGATGTAAAGGTACATTTCCATTAAAGCTATGCACACATTTTTCAGTGATTTGTTGGGGCACTTTGGCTTATTTCTTTCTGCACGCCTTTGGCTTGATACTAGACAGAACAAAATGATCAAGAACAGTAACTTGGAACATTGTGTAGTTTCATAACAAAATACTTCAAAACATTATTGTGGAGTAAAAACTTGTTCTATATTATTTTCCTCTTTTTGTAAATGAGTTTTCTTTTTATGTTGATCGATTTCAATGTTAGAGCAAAGGAAATGTCATATACCTCTTTTGTGTAACCATTCCAGTCAATCATTATATTATGATTTATTTGAAGCAAGCTTAGAATTCGGTAAGATGCAACTTCTTACACTATAGTGAATGAATCATTCGGCAGCAATGAAAGGGACGAATGATCCGAGAAACCATGTTTGTATTTCGAACATCTTTTCCTACCGTATAAGTAAAGGCTGCATAGGCATTTTGTCTCTTGAGTTACATTTTCATTTCATTAGATGATTTCAGAATACAATCTTTCTTTGTGAATAACATCTAATTTTTTTAATAAAACTGGATAGATTATAAAGGCAGGTATTGCCAAAAAAAAAAAAAAAAAAAAAAAAAAGCCAAACCTAACTTGCAATATCTGATGCACATCCTATACAAATTCCTAGTTTTTTCCGATTATAAAAATTAGATGGCAGCATCAACTTGTATATAACTTGTATATTGACCGTAATTTATTTTTATACATATAGTAAGATATTGACAGTATTGAAAAATTTAATGTATTTCTATAATCAGCTTATTTTTTGTGCTAAATTTACACATCACATTTAGTAAAGCCTCCTTAACTGAAATAATAAAAGTAAGCAATTATCAGACTGATAAATTCCAAAATCATTTATTTCTAATCTTTTAAATCAACATTTCCCTTTTTATATTACTCAGAAGCAAATAAATGTTCATAAATTTGTAAGCAGACGTAATTTGCCATAAAAGCTTTCTTCTTTTTTCATAAAAGCTCTTTCTTAGAGCTTTCTTGCTCTTTCTTTAAAAGCTCTTCTTTCATAATATTTTAAAGATTCTGTGTTTATGAATGGGTTATAGCGATTAGAATTTTCACTCTTTAGTAAAGGTTTCTCCAGAAATGATAAAATTTAATAAAACAAAAGCATGAAAAGTTTTAGCAGATTAAAACAAGGTTTTAAATATAGAGGGTCGAGGAAAACAAAGCCTAGGGAATTTCTGCCATCCTAAAATAGAAAGATGGCACTTTATTTTCCTTAAATCCTAGATAGTATATGCCACGTACCTGAGTCCATTAAAGTTTTATTATAACATATTTTATTATATATATTTTGTATTTAAAGATGCTGATTGGTTTCTTGTATGATTTTAAAGAAAAAATGCTATATTTAATTGTGAATTTCTGCCTTAGCGTACTTTACCACCTAGCATTTTTAATATGTGGCTTATGAATTATTTTTGTAATTTTTAACTTTTCTTAAATTTGGGAAGTGGACTTCTTTACAAGAATAGCCAGTTTCTGGAATTTCTTGGGTTGCTTTGTGCCTGTATTTCAAAATCTAAGACACGGCCGATCATTCTCGCCAACTTACGGAAACAAAGAGAGAAATGAAGCAACACAGATTATAAGATACCACTTCTGAAAATTACTTCCTAGTAGATATTAATGAGCAGAAGAGAACATATCTTTAAACTTCAAAGCATTTGTTTTAAGTTCATTATTATCAGTTTGTTTCTGTAATCCAAAAGATAAGTTACTTTAGAATAGGCACATCAGTTCTTTAATTTCCGTGCCTTTTTTCATAACCTCAGTAACATCTGCTTTGGTGGATAAAACGAGTTTATTATTAATTCCTTTCCCTCCTCTTTATTTCCAATTTCTGTATTCCAAGAGAAAAGTTAAAATGTTGTTTTGACATGTAACTAGTAAATTGGTAAGTAAACAACATCACAGAATGTGGGAGGGCAAATATTCAAGCAATAACATGAATATTAGTATGTCTAATCATGCAAGTTTGCCCTTTAATTCTCTCCTGAGAGATGGTATACATTGCAGAATTTATTAAAATTAGATATAAAAAGATGAAAACTACAGCAATTTTTTTTATTCTAAAAATGTAAAAATAATATTGAAAATGATTCGTGTAAAGAATGAGTTTTCTGTTTTTTATAAAAACAAATCTTAAAGCATTTGCTCTATGAAAAAATATGTTATCTGTAACTGTTTTGTTTCATAAAGTAAACAGTGCTCTTCGGTATTTCTTTTATAAATTTAATGGCTTCTAATTTTCTTTGGTTGTAACTTTGATTGGTTTCAATATTTTTGATAAAAAAAACTTTCTTTTTGATGGTTATCACGAATGTTGAGCAATATATAAAGGAATAACATATGCTTTTAGAATGATGCTTCATGTTTGTGTGTTAATTTGGGGAAAAAATGATTTTCTTAATGAATGAATATATATATATTACAGATACAACAAAAGTGTTCTGAGGAGCCTAATATAGAAGAATGTTTGAAAATAAAATTTCAAAAGAAAGAACTGGAGAGTTCAGAATGTCGAAGAGTAAGTATTTTAAAAGTTGGTATTATGTAGTTTTCATTCACTGTCAATTTTACTCATAGAAGTGTCTCTTTTTAGGAAATAGCTAGGCTAATATTTGAAGGCAAAGCTGATATACAATCTGATCCTCTTTTATACAGACTGTGTGTCACAGATATAAAACATTTTTGCAGTGATATACCACCTGGTCATGGAAGACGTATGTATTATGCTGTTGTATTTTGTTTTCAGAAGTGTTAAATGTAAATTAGGCTATACTGTATTTGCAGAAGTTTAAATCAAAGTGTTTTCATCTATGAAATAAATTAAATTAGTACCATGATTTCGATTGATGCTTTGTTTTTGATTCACTGGAAGATAAAAAAAATTGTAAATTTATGTGTTTGTATATATTTTAATCGTATGTTATGAGAATATTTGTTTCAAATTTTTCCATAATACCATTTCACCATCATTTTACATGATTTTAAATTTATTGTGACTTCAAAACATGGAAACATTCTATATTTTCTGTCAATCTAATTAAAAAGTAAAAATATAATATTCTTAAAAACTCCATCTATTGCTTTTAAATAAATAGCTTAGTTTTTTAATCAATGACAGAGAAATCAAATTTGAACCATCTTACATTTTATGAATAGCAACAGACTCAAATGAAAAGTGAATCAACACATTTATAATGAAGGAATGCAAAATCATATTTTTAGACTCGTAATTCTTTTGGACTAAAAACAGGTGACCATGGAATTTATTAAGAGGAGGAGTGAACAACTCCATGTTGACAACACTTGGTAGATGAGACTCAGGTTATTGATTTAGTTTGCGACTAATTTTATAATTTGATGGTCTTTTGTCTTCATATTGTAGTGGATTATCATTGCTGTTATACTTCCAGACTTAGTTTCTTTTCTTAGCTTCTTTAATGGATACTTTTAAACTGCATCCAGAATATATTTGTTTTAAAATCTACAACCTTTTGGTATCCTCATTTTTTTTTTTTTTTTTTTTTGCATTCCATTGTTCATTTTTTTGGGGGGGGGTGATCCATTTTCAAAGTTATTTTATTTTTTGAACTCCTTATTACATTTTGAAAATTAAGATTATTTTATACAGCTTATTATTATCATCGTTTTTGTTAAATCTCTTCTATAACTTAAGCTTCTTCTGTCAGCCACGTTAGAATTTAATTTAAATGGAATTAGGTTTAACTTTACAATTCAAGAAGTGATTTCCTAAAGATCTGTTGTTATTCTTTCTGTGGCTAGGCCAGCTTTTTGTATGATACAAGACAATGCACAAATAAAGCTCAATACATATAATTAGAATTTCAATTCAAATTATTAAATGCACTAACAAAACATATAGGATAAAAACAATTTTTGAACATATTAGTAAGGTGTGTTTAATGAATTATCAGTAAAAGTGTATAAAGAATTGCAGAAATGGGAAAACTTTTAATAATAATATAATGTCAGACTTATTAATTTTATTCAGTCTAATTTATTGCATTTTTTAAATATATGCTTTACTTTTTCAGAGTTGTCTTGCTTATTAACAATTCTGGAAGGTGATTCACGTACTGGTTCTTTATCAGAGGAATGTAAAACTATGCTTTCAAAGAGAGTAGAAATGTTTGAATATGCAGCACAGGTAATATTATTTACTTTTTTCAAGAAAGGATTATGTAATTAAATGTTAATGCAAAATATATTAACCATTTTTTAATTTGTTTTCAGATTTTTTAATAGCATTTTGCTTATTTTACCTTCTGATGCTTTGGTTTAAAACATTAGTCAACAACATTAAAATATTAGTCTCCCCATTTTAATTTTTTTATATATGGTTTTTATGATGTTCCCATTGGGGAATTTTAGTATTAAGTAATTAGTAATGGTTAAGCTCAGTATGCTGGAATTAAAAATGGGATATGATGGACTAAAGAATGAATAAATTATGAAGGATTTATTTTTAAATATAAATACAGGTATGAATTCAAGTGAAAGTTTGTAAATTTAAATAAAAATCTTAAAAAATTACATTAAATTTATGTTTACATTCTGTGTTTTAAGGATTTTTTTTTTTTTTTTTTTTTTTTTTTTTTTGCTTTCTTTACATTCACATCATGCATTTGCTCTACCTTGTGCACGTGTAGTTGTTACTATGATCATCATATAAATATTTTGTCTGTAATATGTGCTTGCTTAAATAATTAGTACAGCAAAAAGGCCCAAAAATACTTCATAAATTTTTAAACTGATCTTACTACTACAATTTTACTACAGTTACAAAATGTTTAACAAAAGCACTCAGTCTTTTGAGCAAATAGCTGTTGTGTACTTTGCTGTAAATAACTAATCCAATTTGCAATTACATTTTTTTCCCTTCTCTGTACAATAGTAATGCCCTTTTAAAGTGCAAGGCTTAATTTTGTATTTTTTCCCCCTTTGATGTATGTGTGTGAAATGATTCATAGAAACATGGGGTTGCATCTGAGGTACTGAGGCAAAACATCAGTATACTTATGTGATTCAAATTATGAATGTGATTAAACATTCATAATTTGAATCACATAATAATCTATATAATATTGATTTAATAATCTATTGATTTTTACCAGAGCGTTCCTGAGGTAATGGAATTTTGTTTGGCAAAGGAAAAAAAAAAAGTAGTTTAAAAATTTGTGGATAGATGGTGCTGTCAGTTTACATTGCTGTTGTGGATCTATAGCCGAAAGGAAACAGTATACTCTAAGGGTTTACGACAATTTTATTAGCAAAAAGACAAGAATATGTATTTACAGAGAAAACAGTGATAGTGACAAGAGAAGCTTCCCGAAACAAACACCTTATGGATGATTATCGCTTAAGTTGTTTGATATGCTCTCCTCCTTATTATGCTGCTAATTAATTGGAAGGGAAAAACAAAACTGCATGTTCCACAACAGATTGAAGGGTATCTGTGCTGATGCTGTGGTGTGTGATGCTTGTCTTCAAGTCGGCCAGATTTGCAATCCACCCACTGTAAACAACTTCTTCAGATATCTCCAAGCCAAAATTCACACAGGTTTAAGTTGGCAGATCAGGGCGACCACGCTGTTGAAAAATGGCGGTTTATGATTCTATCATCACTGAAATGAGCAATCAGCAGCTGCTTCACATGAGAGCAATGTACAGAGAAGCGCCATCATACATGAATATTGTGCAATGCATGCATTGACATTGCTGAAGCGCAGGAAGGACATGGTTACGCAAAAGTGGTTTATACCACTTGCTAGTAATGGCGCAGGTAACGGGACCGCAGATGTGATCTCCTATAAGATAAACCGAACAATGAGAAACGCTGCCGTTATTCTGCACCACACGGTGACCTTTTCAGAGTGAAGAGATAATGGCTGTAGTGGGAATGGATTCTTGGTCACCCATATCCTGCAATTATGCATATTTACCAAACCTTGCAAATGAAAATGAGCTTTTCCAGACCACAGAATGTTCATTATCCACTTCCATCCGAGCAAGATTCACGCGTTTCCAGGTCAGCAAGTAGCAACTGCTGCACATGAGTTATGCCGCTGCCAAAACGGTTTTTGTGCTCTACCTTATTTTATGTCAAATGAACCGGTCTCTTTGAATTTATCTATCATTTTCCACAGGCCATATGTGGTCATTAAATCGGATTTTATGCCTTGTAATGTCCGGAACTTCCTGATGGCTGTTAACGCACAGTCACCATTTTGATAGAAAATCTTCACAAAAGAGCATGATCCTTCTTCGTCAGAGTCATGATGAGGCACTCGGGAAAAATTTTATAAGTGTATTGTTAGTGTTTTGCATTTTTATCTTAACCATAGCTGTAGTGCACATATTATGTCTTAGAAATTTGCATACAGCAATGTGAGATAGCAGCATTTATCAGCATATTTTGAAACTGTTTTTTCCCTTCTCCAAAGAAAATTACATTGCCTCATGATTGTTTTAGTAAAATATCAAGTCATTCTGACTCTTAGTTTTAGAGCGTTTTGAAATCACAACTTTTAATTATAATCACACTCTACTTATTGTTAACTGTATTCTTTTAATTATATGTGTATATTTGTAACAATACAGGTTGCTCCTGCTGAAACTGTGGAAGAACTTATAAGGCAAGTAGCAAGTTCACCATCTAGAAATTACTTCATTGTTGTTACTCTGGGATGTCTCACAGGCATCTTTATTGGTGGTCTGTTTTGTGGAAGAGTGACAAAAAGAGTGCCCATGTCTATGAAAAACAAGTGAAAACTTTAGTATGTTTTTAAAGGACACCTTTCCAAGCTGTACTGTACAGGTATAACACAAGGAAGTGCTAGTGAAAAAGACTGCATCATAATTCCTCTCCTTATCCCCATTGAATTGTAATTCAATGAACAAAAATATTATTATTTTTTTTTAATGCAACATAACCACTGAACTGCCATGACAGGTTCTTGTATATATACATATATATATACATATAATACTTACATATTTGTTGATATTGTGTGCCTGTGGTGATATATGGTTTCATAAAAACACTTTAACTGCATTTCATTCAATTTTCTGAATGAGGTACCAAAGAAGAAATATCCTTTTTTACTCATGTTTTTATATTTAGGCACAATTTATTTTTATGCTTAATTTCCTGTTATAAAATCAAATACAGTCTGCTAATTTGTTGTTTCTTGTACAGATAATCATTTATGAAGTAATTTTTCTTCAACGTGGGTTTCTTTTTGCCCCAACATTATTAAATAAGTTTGTTATTTTGTATCTGATATTTATGTTCCTATTAAAAAACTTAAAAAAAATTACTTTGTCAAAAATTATTAGTCATCATCTTCGATTTGGATTTAAATTTCTTTGCTGTATATTCTGATGTGCATAATTTGTAACAGGACTTTTTATCACTAGTGTTCTCTTAGCAGCAGTAAACAAGACAAAGAATTTAAATTGGATATAACAATGAAAACGTGATTAAATAAAAAATTTCATGTCCTAAGTTCAGTGGAGTATGGAAATTCATGAAATGTAGTATTTTTTTTAGTAGTTACCGAAAACCATTGCCTCTCAATGCCTAATATTAAAAAAGCTAATTCATGCTATTTTTTCATTAACTTCTATGTTTGAAACCAAAGTACTGGCTTCTGAAAATTTATAGTATATTATATCCTGTTCATATACATTTTCTAAACAAGGTTACGATTTCACTTAAATTTTTTTAATCGTTGCTTCTATGCTGTAAAATATCATAAATCATTTTGTGTTTTCTTCGTATGTCTAAGAATCATTTTTAAAATGCACTCAGGCCAAAGATTCATTAGTATAATCTTATCCAAATGAAATTTGGCAGATTTTTTTTATATATTTATTTTGTAACTTCTGGTAGCCCCTATCTGTTAAGCTAGCAAAATTTATTATTATTTTGCTATTAAACAAACTATTTTTTTGGAGATTTGTTTTGAAAATTAATTTTACAAAGTATTCAGAATTTACTAAGTACAGGCAAAAGTTTTTTCATTATCATTACTTCTTTCCTTTCCTCCTTTTCTTGTGTGTATAACAAATTATAGGATTTGGAAACTTCTAAATTTTCAGTGCAGTAAAATAAAATTATTAGGTATTTTAAAAACAGTGTTTCATGCATATTATTTCTCGTTGAACTGTATGATTGTTGTTATTTATAAGACTACAAATATTAGAAACAATATAAGAAATATTTAATATAAAAAGGGGCTATTATACCAATTGAAATATATTTTTTTCGTAGTGCATGTTATGATTTGTTACTTCTGCTGTAAATATTGTAAAATGGTAGTAACTCGACATTTCAATGAATACCGAAAAAATGTCAAAGTAACAACTTTCTGTTGATCTGTAGGTATATGATTGGTGTTGCAAAATCCAGATATTTAGAATAAAAAAAAACCTTGATTAAATCAATGGAGTTAAAATTGAAAATGATAATTGTATAAGAGTAATCCTAAATGTTTTGACATTAAAAAGAGTTAAAAGTTTTTGTCTGAATTTTCAAGACAAAACAGAGATTTGAAAAACGGGTGAGAGAGAACTGTTTTTGTGAATTACTGTTGTACAGAAAACCTTTTTTGGGGAAAGACACAACGTGCTTAATTATAATTATCATTAACAGCATTATAACTATAGCTCATAACATAATCTGAGTAACTACTATCAGGCATAATATAAGCATGCATTTACACATATGATCATACATGCATGGTCATCTTTGAAGAAAGGACTATCAGTGATTTCAGTATCATTATTTAATTATGTTCTTAGTTATAGCATGTCTTTCAGAGAAGATCTTAATGGGTGGTGTTTCAGTATATATGTCAGGTGTGATGTCTGAAGGGAAAGAAAAAAAAATTTCTATAGTGTGCTGCTGTTTTATTTAGAAAAAAATTTTTTTGGGGGGGGAGGTTATGATGTTTTTGAGAAGGAACAAATACAGTCTCTTAGCAATGTAAAATGCTGCGCTAATGATGAATTTTTGTCATAGTTTAAAATTTTTAAAAGTAAAAGTTAAGCAATTACAGAGAGAAAGTTTGCTTTGCTGAATATTTATTTTACTTTCTCAGTTCTTTTTGCAATTTATAAAGCTTGATTTGGTTATTTAATACTTTTAGAATTAATGAACTGTATTAAAGAGACAAATTTTGTATCAATTCATTCATTGTAAAATTAGCTGTTTTAATATAGAAGAGTTCCTTGCAAATATATTTGTCAAATAAAATTCTTAATCTCTGAATTTGTTACATAATGTATTAATCTGTTTATTTATTACTCTTTATATTTATTAGCCTTTTATTTGCAACTCTTTAAATAATGTTTACTTGCCTGATGATCAGAGTTTCTGAACTTTTTCCTTTTATGAAGAATAATTCTCGTAATTCATATAGATGTCAAATTTTGAGAGATTCAAGATCACAAGTATGTAAGATCATTTTATGTTGAAGTTAGTAGGATAAGTTACCACACAATTATTTTTTAGCCAAATTACTTATATGATTTTAGGAACATTTTATTCATTACATTAATAGCGTTTATAAAAATTATCAGTTAGATATGTAATATTAGTAAATTGCCATTTTAAAATGTTTTATTAGCTTTACTAAGTTATGAATACTTCAGAATTTTAATAATATGAGTAAGTTGCGGAATGTTTTTAACAGTTCTGCTCACTGGTGTGCAGTATATTGCTGATAATATATTGTGGTATATAATGCATGTAATTATAAGACCTGGTATTACTCCCTGCAGCATAAGATTTTTATCTTCCAAATAAGATGAACTGAAGGTATGTTACATGAAATGGCTGTAATTGTTATTGTTATTATCAGCAATTCTTAATGCAATGTGGCATGTATGTATATACCCCCCCCCAAAAAAAAAGTGTGAAAGCTAGACTTTGGATGTTTCTAAAGGGGAAAAATATTGTTATACATTTCCTGATTTGGAACAACTTTTCTGTCTGAGTTAGTATTAAGAGAAAGAAGCAGGTTTGATCCTTCTACCCCTCTCTTATTCTTCCCCAAGAAAAGATGCTGCAGATGTTTGTCTTTCAATTTAGTCATTTCTCAGCATTGAAATCTTTCTGCAGTTAATATGGAATAATTTACATGGTAACCCAGGAGTGGTTGACTGTTACGCACTGTGAGAACGAAAACTGCACCAAAGAACTTTTCATCCTAAATCTCTTTATGTGTGATATCAGCTTTATCTATCCATCTCCTGTTGTTTCTTTTAAGATTCTATATTTACAGTCTTGGATTTGTCACTTTTGCAATTTTATTTTCTTCAAGTCAGCAAATATTCTAGGAAATTGCTTTATTTTATATTATGACTATTACCGTACACTGGAAATAATATTTAAAAAAAAAATAATAAATAAAATTTGAAAAAAGACAACTCTTTTTGGTCTTAAAATTTTATTTGAATTAAAATGTAAATTTAGTACGTGAATTGTAGGTCTGCATGTTACATTTCATTTATGTGACTATTGTAAATTTTGTAATTATTTTAATGCTGCGCCTGAACTCTCTGTATTTTATATTTTTTCATTTTAAATTAAGTAGTTCGGCAATGTTGTTGGTTATATTTTTATTTTAAAATCCCAATTTTTATAATAAAATTTGAATCATCTCCAGTGTTCGGCTAATATTGAATTTAAGATGCATGTACTTTATTTTTTTCTTTGAATATTCTATCTCTATTTCAATGTACATATTCTGTTATATTTTTTAAAGTTAGGTTCTTTTTAATATTTCAATATGGAAGGAAAAACATGAGCAATTGCTTTGATAGGTTATTGCAAGAGAAGTAAATCTATATCGAAACTGATTTAACTATGAATTTTTGCTACTTATTAATTTAACAGTAAGTATGTACCCATTACAAAAATAAATATTTATTTACTTCTTAGTTATGACATTGCTGGCCACATTAAACATGCAAAATATTTAACTTTTGTCTGTCTGAAAATTGCTTAAATATGCTGGTATCATATTTAATTATAACTGAAATGCATCCATACAATTCCTTTTGTATGAAATCATATTTTTTTGGGTTAAAAAACTATTAAATGTTAAAATATTTGGAAATTTTTTGCATGTTTGCTCCAAATATGATTGCCATTATTATTTTTAAGTTTACTATCTATTATCCTTATTTAAAATTGTATGTAATGGAAAAGCAGTTACTGTTATTTAAAATTATATGGATTAACTGATCATGCCATTTTCAACTATTGCGAAATCAGCTTTTTAAAATTTTACATTTTTAAAGCTGTCTGCATTTGTTTTAAATATGTATTTTATCTTCATGGTTTAAATTAAAGATTTCATTGCCATGATCTCAGTTATAGCTGTGGAATTGATAACGTTATTTTATGTTATTGAGTTTCGTCATGTAAAACATTGTCATTTTTTGTGCCAAAATCTCATCTGGATGCAACTTTGATGAAATTAAAGTACTTGATTGGTTACTTATTAGGTTGCATGCATCTATTTTTATTAAGAGTCATTTTGATATTGACTTTTTATCACAGTTTTAAATGTTTAAAACAACTTGTAAAGTATTTTGACATTGGTCGTATTTTATGTAATGATATTCATTCTATACTGTCTTTTAATTTTTAATAATACATATATTTTAAATTGTATATAATGCTGTGGAATTTGTGATTAATTTAATGTACTGATTTGCTTAAAATTTTGCTGCATGTGTAAATATGTTTTGTCTACCATACTTACACATAATGTACTCTCAATTATCCGGGTGCAGATTATCTAGTTTGCGGAGGCAGTGCCCACTCGTTCACATTCAACACTATGTGTGAAAGTGTGTAAAAAACAATAGCTCCAAGTCTGAGCATGGAGAAATATTCTTTTAAACATAGAAGAAGTCGAAGCAATAACTGAAGTTATATGCGAACAAACTGAAAGTGTAGAAAATGTTGGTTGGAAAAACATTGAGGAATGGTTCGATGGCAGTTTGAATAAGTTGGGTTTTTTTAGTACTTGTATGTTGCGAGTATTGTTCCAGATGTTGCAAGAACAGAAGAGGCAGAGAGTAATGCTGAAGAGTAATGTATTAAGGAGAGTAATGCTTCTTCGCCTGTATACACAGGCAAAGATACTGAATACTACATTAGTCCCAAGACAGCAATGACTTCTGTTAAAACTATTGGACTTTGTCTACCAAAATGAATTTCATTTCAGTATTTAAACATTCTCAAAGTAAAATAAATAATTTTTTTAAAGAAATGAATATCCCCGGCATTAGCATTAGAATGGATTATCCGTCATTAGCATGGATAATCGAGATTACACTATATATATTTTCTTTTATAAATTAGAAATTGACTATATAAGGAAAAATAATTTATATTTGTTTCCAATTTTAGTATTATTTGGTGGCAGATATTCTGCGAAATCAAGCCTTTTTTTAATTTAGTTTAATAGAAACATTTTAGTGAGTTATGAATTTAATGTTGCATTTTCTTCAATTTTTACTTTTAGCTTTTATAAAACATACACAGTAAATTGCTGCTATTGAAAATATCCTAAAGGTAATATCGGAGAAAGTCATTCAACTCATTTATTACTTTTCTGAATTCTTAAGGAAATTTGATAATAACACCTTCTTTACTTTTATTCTATAAAAGGTAAAATAATCTCCGAAGTGTGTTAATTTGTTAGTTAATCATATTACTCGGTTATCTTGAACCACTGAATATCATAGGTTTTCAGAATGATTTTTTATATTGTGCTCTTCTTCTGTTTGCCTCACTCTCAAATATGCAGCCTACATATAAAAAAAAATTATTTAAAAAGCTAATTAACATAAATAGAGAATAGGGAAAATTTTTATCTTTTGTATTAACACATGCTTTCTTTACAAGGAAAAAATATTATTATTGTAAATTTATTAAAATTATTTTAAGACTTTCATGTTTTTATTATCCCTTTCATATGCTTATATCCATTATGTCTTAAGATTCAAACCATGCCCATGTTTTGTTTGTTTGTAAGAAGTTAACTCTTTGGTATTGGAATCTGCTAAATGCAAAGAAAGTAACTATGTTGCACACAAAGGTATTTATGAAACCCATAAATACATTTTTGATATAATGATTTCTACTTTTCTCTCATTTCTATTATTTAAACTGTCCAATCATTACATCACCTTTCTCTTGGAATTACGTTATATGATTGTAAGAACTTAAAATGTTTCTTCATAGCCTGATACTCGACCACTGCAGATTTGACTTAATGTGGCTGTCATATTTGTCAGTTTGATTTTTGATACAATAATAATTCATAATAGAATGAAGTTAGAATAAAATTTATTTGAAAACTATTAAACTTTTAACTTTATATTACCAAGTAAATTGGATATTGCTTTGTGTTGAATTTCAGAAGTAAACTCTTTTTTTGGCTTAAACAGATAAAATTTCAAGAAGGTATAAAATGTACATAGCAAATGATAAAAGATTATATCAAATTTTGTTTAGTGACAAATATGATAAACTTTATCAAGTCCAGTTTTTTCTTATAAATTTTATTGTAGAGATACATTCTAGCAATTTAACTTCTGACGACAAAGAATTAATTTCTCCCATCTACTTTTTTAATAGTAAATATGTATTAAATTCTGGTATATACCAGCACATTGGTGCTACTATATGAATAAATTACTTGCACTTAGCCATTAATACTGCTAATATTGCAAACAAAATCATAAAAAATTAATTGTAAAAGACAGTATTGTTAAGTCAATATTGTGTATGTATAATCTCACATTAAATTTAATAACCAAAGCATTAATTTGATTATAGTAATCCTCAAAGATTTGTTTACGTATATTTGCTACAGACTACTTGTTATATATAACTAAATCTTGTTCTCACCACCACTTCGACAAAACTAAGGAAGAGGTAAATTATCGTCTACTATAATAATCTTATTAAGGTACTCTGCAATCAAAGTTTTGGTTGACTGAAAAAGGGCAAGTGTTTCCTTGGAGATTGTTCTTTAGTATATAGATTTTAATATTTTTGAAATTGGTAGATTATTTTGAAAAATAAAGTTTAGAGAAAATGTGTTCAGTTGTTTGCTATATTAAGTTCTAAATTTGTTATGTGTCAACAACAGATAAAGATTAGAAGTAAGGAAGCCACAAAAATTTCAGAGCATGCATTTTTCTAAAGAAGGCAAGTAATAAGTTATTCATGAATGATTTCTTTTCATAGTTATAATGAATATTCAGTTTGATGCTTGAAAATGAATTTGTTCAGTAAAATTTAAAACTAAAAAATTACTTCTACTATATTACAACCGTGTAAATGTATTTGAAAGCAGCAAAGACTGCTATAGCTAATTTAAATTCTGTTGTAATATTTTTAGGCTGAAGTATGCAGATCTGGCATTCAGTAACAATTATTATAAATAAGCTTAACTGTATGAATATAGAAACAATAACTAAATTTTTAAATGTAAGTTAAATAGCACTGTAAGTCTCTTCCGTTTTTAGCTATTTAATTTGATGCTCCTGCCAAAATGATGGCAGGTATATATTATTTAATATGGTAATGTTGAAAATTTATTAACTGTTTAAAAATTTTTGTGAATGTTTTAATATTTTAAATTTGTTCTGAATGTAATTTACTCCTGAATATGAATTAATCTTTCCTACTTTTTATATTTTTTGGTAGCTGTGATACTCTTATGTAAAATTTTCAACTTAACATGCATTCTTATTTATTTTCATGTGAAATTTGTCATTAATCTGAATTGTACAATATAGAAATAAATTTCTATTAAGGTTTACTCCCCTACCCGTAAGCTTTCTGTCAATAAATTGTGTCATAATTTTGAGTTTCAATCTGAGGATTGGGAGCAGAATTATAACGCCAGAAATTTTTAAGCATTTAACAAGTAAAACGTTTTGTCCTTTGTTAATCCAAAAAATAATATATTATTTAGTATTTTAGATTATATCTTAAAAGAGGGAAGTGATATTGTGTGACCATTTTTTAATTCCTTTACATAGTTTATAATTTTAATGCACACAATTGTTTTTATTTTGAAATATTTGTTTAGAAAAAGCTATAATAAAGTTTTCAGTAGTTTTAAAGTAGGTTTTAGAGAAAATTAGTGAAAAATTATTTTCAAAGATATCACAGCTCTGTGGATATATGTTGAAAATATTTTTTATGAAATATATTGGCGAAATATTACTCAAGCATTGCAGCATTAGTGATTTACAAAAACTCATATATAGTTATGAATCTAAAGTTTTTAATACTTTTCAAAGATCTATTCCTAAAATTGCAAGTTTGTGCATTAAAAAGAAATAAAAAATGTTTTTAATTTGTCAAGGAAATATTTTCTTAATATTTAATTATTTATAATAATATGCATAAATATAAATAATATTACATGGTTTGAATAAATTCAAATATACATTTTGTTGGCTTAGTTAAATATAAATTGAGCTGCTGCTTGCATTTAATTAGTTTATCCTAGATATATACTTACAGTACAAGGAAAGAATATATAATTTTCTCTAGCATTTAAGTTATCTAAAATAGAAACTTCATTAAAATGTGTTAAAATACTTAAGATATAAATTTTCATGATTCAAATTTAGGTGACATTGCTCCTAATCCTTAGTTATAAAAATTTTGTTAATCATTGTGATTTGAGTGAAACCAGTATTAAACCTTTCTTTTTAATTTTGTTTATTAAATGTAACTGAAAAGTTATCCTGGTTGAATGATACCTATTTACAAGTAGGTGATTCCTATTTGTTAATGCGTTTTTTCTTATCTTGTATATTGATCTGAGTTCTCTTCCTTTTTTGAGTTACTTTGTACAAAATGTATAAAACAGTAAATCTTGAGAAAACACAGTGTGTTAAACAAAGTTTTGTCATTTATAATAAAAATATTGAAATTATTGTCTCTTTCTCTCTCTCTCTCTCTCTCTCTTTTTTTTTTTTTTTTTTTTTTTTTTTTGTATTTTGAATCAAAAGTCAAGAACCTTGAGTTACTAAATGAGAGTAAACCAAAGCTAGTGGAAGGTACGGAAACAACAAGGAAGATTCTTACATTCTAAAGATGATACTAGTTAGAAAAGAATAACTTATACATTGTTCTTACATGTTGAGCACTAATATTTAGGAAATATTTCCAGTGGCAACTTGATAAAATGAGTAACAAACACAAAAAAGTCATTGTTTCATTGCACTTCTTGCCTCCCTGTACCGCTCAACCAAGGTAGCCTCACGAAGAGCTTTGCATTAAGAAATATGCTGGCCATCCATTACCGTAAAGGGTACCTAAGGATATGGAAGGACACCAATTTTAAAGAGGTGTCCAAGCCAAGCAGTCATGCTGAAAGAGTCTAAAAATTGAAACTGCCTCATGGTGGGGTCAGTCGGGTATGTTTATTTGGTCTCGAAACCTCAAACCTGTGGAAGCAGTTCCTCATGATGTTGGCAAGAAAAAGATTTCTTGAAAAAAATGGGTAAATTCAATGGAAAAAATGTACGAAATTGGACACACGAGTTGTAATAGGCCAGCACCGTCCTTCTTCAGCATGTCAACCTGTTATATTTAGGAAATGAGTAGTTTATAGTAGTCTTTATAAATTAACTATTGAAATTTATCTATGTTTTAAAGAGGTTACTTTTATTGAAAGTTTTACTATTTAAAAGTTACAGATCCTATTCTGTTATGCACTAAGGTAAAGAACCATTGTTCCATTTAGAAAAAGACTATGAATGGGTTCTTTGATTCGTTTTGAGTGGTCGGAGATGCCTACTCACCAGAGCTCAAATGTGCTTCATTGCGGAGAGATCTAACGATCGTGCCGATCAGAGGTTTGTGAAAGGAAGGGCAACACTTCGAGGCGTAGAATATCATCGACAAATCGCTATGCTGTGAGGTTGTCATGGATGTCAACCAAAGATATCCAGCTATCAACTAAAATGGCATTCTATGCCATAACTTCTGGTTCTCGGGCCTTCTGGCAGACGACTGTAAAGTGATTATCCCACTGCTGTCCTGTAAGTCACAGTCCAGATATACTTTCTGTAGTCCAGGCTCATCTTCGTTGATTACTGGGGCTCGGTTCAATGCGAGACTCATCACTGAAAACAATTTTACTTCAGTCCGTGAGATCCCTGAATGAATGTGCTTAGTACCACTACCAACATGGCTGACGCCATGCAGTGGTAAGGGGCTGTTGATGCAATGGCCTCCGTGACATCAGTTCCCTGAGTTACCCGTCAGTGGTAATTGCTGTCACTGGTGTTCTGTTTACACCTCAGATCGTTGATGAAGACGCATTAGGATATGTGAGTGCTGATCAGACTTCACTCTGTCATGGCTTTCAGTCAACCACTTTTTTTGCATGGCCATGGTTCACCCATTCCTGCCAACATCGCCAAATGGTACTATCACTACAACCAAAGTCACTGCTTCCTTTAGCCCAATTGCATGTTCTCTCTCAAATGGTGACACCTGCTCGTACTGTTCCCGAACTCATTTGCAAGGCATTCACCAATGCAGAGTCTACATGGGTCAACTGACCACATTCGCTTTGAAGTTATGCCTTACCATTATAATGTCCTCTGTTTCATACACTATCCGGATGTTCGGTTCAGCTAGTCAGTCACGGGCCACCAAAAATTAATCATTTCCTTATTCTGTTGTAAGATATGGGCATTTGGATAATTCCTTTTTAGTATGCATTTTTTATAATGTAAAGTGTATTTTTTTACATAGAGCATTTGTGAGCGCTCTTGTGCTTAACGTATTTCAAAGTGTTAGGCAGTTGGATAAACCCATCATTATTATTTTTACAATTAATAATATCAGTAACACCTTTACATTTAGTTTTAGAATTTGACCAATCGCTGGGTCTGGTTCCGCTAGACAGTAAGATAAATTGTGCATTCATGGGGGTGCGTAATGTGCTCTCTAGATGAACTGATCTCTTGAAGACTTTCAATTTGGTTTCTAACATTGTTTGCACTATCAAAATATCCAAAGGGACTCCTTAAGAATTACGAGCATTAGGATCAGGATCACTAGAGATGCAAAGATCCATCTGTTCAGTGTTCTTGCAGACAGGTGGAATATCCTCAGTTTTTGCAGTTATACTGATTTCCCATCAATTGCTTATATTATAATTTGCTTCAATTCACAAAGAACTTTCAAGCTGATGGACACATGTGTTTTCGGGCTGTATGATAATATTTTTATCTGTTTTTAAAAAAAGTTAGTTTTTCTTTATACATACATACCAAATTAACATGAAATATATTTTAAGATCAATGCTGTCTGTGTTTTTTTTTTTGTTAGAAAATAAAATTTCTGCGAGTAATTTTCATGCCTTTTTATACTTCCTTGGATGACGTAAAGGCAGTATTGCAATCATGAAAAATTCCGGGTATCAAACTTCAACAAAAATATCCATTTTGATCGCTATCGAATGCAATTTAATGATGTTTTTGCATGACATCTGGACATAAGGACAGAATAAAGGACTCTTTCCCCAAATTAATTATAAAACTGATTAAAAATGGATTTAGAAGAGATGTTTTCATGGTGTCTGTACATATGTATGTATCTTACATAACTCAAAAACAAGTAGTTGTGCACCTTCCTTTTTGGTTGCAATCGGCCACACAAAAAGTATATAAACATATAATTTATTTTTTAAAGAAATATTGATTATATTATCTCCTAATATAAATTTAGTAGAATGCAGAAACCTAAAAATATGAAATTTAATTTTGAATTTTTTTTTTAAGTTTTAATTTATTTATTCATTGTTATTTTTTAAAGTATAAATTATTATTAATTTACTTTCCAGCTATTGCGCAAGTATCAGAACAACTTGTTTTCGATTTCAATGAATTTTATTTCATTCAACATCATATATACACACCTGCTTTATTGCTCGGCTAGGTGAGCTCAGTTTTTTTTATTCTTATATGTTGGTAAATTGGGCATTTTTTGCTTAAATATGGTTGATTTATGTTGCTCCAATCTTTCGGTTAAGGTTTTTACACCTTTAGTTAATCTGCATGCAATAGTTGTAGAATTTTCAACAATTTCAACACTTCCCTTAAAAATATTTTGGAAAAAATTTGCAAAAATCATCACATTTTTTTATTTAATTATTAAATACAACGAAACGAAACACATCAAAATATGTAGGTTTTAAGTTGAATTTTAAATTTTTTGAAGGTGTAAAAGCATTTAGTTTTAATATTAGTTTACTATTCCCGAGTTATCTCGAGCAAACAAAAAAAGTTAAATATTAGTCTTTGTATAATAGTTTTTGAAACAAGGGACAACACAAAGTGATACCTGACATTCTACATTGGTATCTGGTCTCTTTTCTAACTGGCTTACCGCTGGAATCTCTTTCTCGGGAGCACAGAGTACACTGTCTTGTTAGATATTTTTTTTTTCCCCATCTTTTCATAATCACTATCTGAAAAATCATCGCTTTCGCTATCTTGCATCATTATTTTTTTTTTCAACGCATTCTTCTTTATACATTACTAATCCGCAAACCGACGTATACTATACAATAGGGAAACACGTGACCAGTCCCTCCAAAAGAACCGCGCAACCAACAAAATTTGGCAAACTGCCAATCAAAGCTGAATATTTCCTTCAGGCCGAGTAAAACCATGATAAAGCAAATCGTAATAATAAATTCTGCTTCGCCCGAGTTTTCACGGGATAATAATTAACTGCAATATATACGAACCCGGGATAATCAGGCAAGCGGTTAAAAGTTGTTCACGTGCGGATAAGCCTATGCTTGCCATAGCAGCTATATTTGTTTACATTTGAAACTTATCAGAATAAAGAATTAAGTCAGTTTCTGCACCTTCAGTGTCTTTTTGCCTAGTGGGACTAAAAGGAAACTTAGTTTTGTGCACTGAGAAATTTGCCTGCTGGCCGAATTGCTTGTTTTTGCGTAGAAAATCTCATTTTAATTATAAAAATGATTTTTTAAATATTGTTTTAACTGTATTTGGTGTTTTATGTTTTTCTATATCTTTCAAATTTGAATGAAGATATTTGAGTTTTTATGTACCTTGCCTCGAAGTGATTACTGAATTAATTGAATGAGAAATATATCTTTAATGAAAATGCGAAGAAATAAGTGTATTAGCACCAAATATTAACGTCAGTCTGTCTCGGACTGAGGAGAATGTTTAGTGTATGCGTAAGTAAGATAAGCGGCGCTGAATCATCTGTGAAAAACTGTTTTTTATTTTTTAAATTTCTTTTATACATCGTTTTAGATTTATTATAGTATTTGAATAGAACATGTGACAATGATTCGATAATTCTTCAGATGATATAATTTTTTTTTTTATTTTTAGTTATAAAATGAATGAAATGTAACGCTGTTAAGTGAACTTGGTGCCAGATTGTCGCTATAGGAAATAAATACAGTGAATTTTAAAGATTGCATTTATTCTATTGTGGTTTATGCGCTATGGGCGAAGTAGATTCAATTCAATTCAATTAGTTTAAATGCAAGAAAAAATGCGTATAATGTAATATTCCGTACAAGGAAGTCACGTGGTTTACACATTTTTTTTTTTTTTTTTTTTTTTTTTTTTTTTTTAATGTAAGAGATATATTTTTTGGCATGGCAAACTCCATTCAATGTAAGTAAAATTTTTCATATAAGGTAAAAAATTATTTTCTGCTTTAGACTCCGAAATGGATAAAATGGCGTTTCATTTCAATTGTTGCTTACATATAACATTTAAATTATTAGAAAACATTAAAATTCCGAATGAGATATGAATATAACTGTTTTAGGCAGTGGTAAAATAATTTTGTTTTCTGTTTCATGGATTGGGAACTTTTTTTACGAATATTCCTAGCAAATTATTTGTTGAAATTAGAAACTTGC